TTTTTTTTTTAAGATTTTATTTATTTATTTATTAGAGAGTGAGCGAGAGAGAAACAGCATGAGATAGGAGAGGGTCAGAGGGAGAAGCAGGCTCCCCGCTGAGCCGGGAGCCCGATGTGGGACTCGATCCCAGGACCCTGGGATCATGACCTGAGCCGAAGGCAGTCGCTTAACCAACTGAGCCACCCAGGCGCCTGAAACCTCATCAGTTTTAAACCCTGCTATGTAGGCTCTGGAACTTCCTTTTCTTTTTCTCCATTTCTTCACATGGTTTGGCTACTTTTGCCCTGTCAGCTGTCCCTTCATCTGGTTTTGCTTCTACTTTGGAATTCCCATTCCCATACTTGTGGAGATACCCCAAATCTAAAGGAGGCTGGGATTCCCATGGAAGTTTAAGTATATTTTGAGTGCATAATCCTGGGTGGTGGCTATATGGCATTAACATCCTCATGTCCTGTACACTGTGACATGTAAAGAACCAGATAGTAATGGTGGAATACTTACTCTGCTTGCAGAATCCCAGGAAGGAGACTGTTTACCTCTCTGGCTATGGTGTGGAGTTGGCAATTAAGAGCACTGAGTACAAGGCCAAGGATGATACTCAGGTGAAAGGTGAATTTGTAAATTAAGACCAATGTGTTTTCTTTTCCTTAAATGTGAGTGAAAGGGAATTTGTTTCCTTAATGCAAAATAATAGATTTAGGAGTATGATGAACCTGTGTTTGCATTCTGGTTCTGTTACCTCTGAGTTGGGTGATGTTAAGCGAATTCCGTAGGTCCTAAATTTTTTCTTTGTAAAGTGCAGATAATGGCATATGCCTCCTAAAGTATTTGTGAGGAGAAAATAAGATGTATAAGTAAAGAAGGTAGCACAGTGTTTTTGTACAAAAAGTTCAGTAACTGTAGCTGTTGTTATTGATGATATGTAGTTCACAAATAGCCATTGATATGTGACCCAGTGTGAAATCTTAAAACTATCTTATACTTAATGAGTAATTTTGTGTTTTTTATTATTTTCTGCATTTGGAATAGTGTTTTTTTTTCTTATGGATATACTTCCTATTGTGCTACTCTAGAGTTCTGAATTCATTATTTCAACCACAAGTTTTTTTTTTTCTCCCAAAGATTTTATTTATTTGAGAGAGAGAGAGAGAGTAAGTGAGAGAATGAGCAGAGGGAGGGGCAGAGGGAGAGGAAGAAGCAGACTCCCTGCCAAGCAGGGAACCTGACATGGGGCTCCATCCCAGGACCCTGGAATCATGACCTGAGCCAAAGACAGATATTTAACCGACTGAGCCACCCAGGTGCCCTTAAACACAAGTTTTATGTGCAGTCTATTTCTTCCTTATGCGCTCATTTTAATGATTGGTTTGAGTAAATGGAGGATAGTCTAGTACTTCATTATTCTGTTCTCAATAATTATACTTAGGATTAAGTTGCTTAATTGCAGATTCTTCAGAATTTTGATACTGAAAAATCCACTGTTCATAATTTTAAGGGTATTAATTTTGAGCTTGTTAACATATAAAATTTTCCAAAGTGTAAGGAAAAAATCCATTTTTACTTTCTCCAGAACACAGGATATATTGAAAACACATTTACTCTGTTTGTTTAAAAAAAGACTCTGCAAAATGTTCGTTGAGGTATTCAGTGTTTTAAATGGTATTATAATTTAAGGTGTTTCTAATTTGCTTTCCATTATTCAAATTTTATGAGGTTAATAACATTTTAATTTCCCTTCTAAACAATTAGACATGTATTTGCTTGTGCTTTTATAGGAACTGAGGTAAACACCACAGTGATTGGTGAAAATGATCCCATTGATGAAGTTCAGGGGTTCCTCTTTGGAAAATTAAGGTATGGCATATTATTTTGGGAAATGCCCTTATTCTCTTAAAGCTCCAGGCTTCCTCCCATTAATAAGCATCATCTTTCTCATTACTGTCCGAGTTACAGATCTCTTAGTAGTACTTTATATATGTAATCTGATACGAAGCAATTACCACTTCACTTACTGTATAGTTTATGATCTCCAGGCATCCGAAGCACATTATTATTAAATGATATTAACGTGGCCTGCCTATGGCTTTAGTTGATTTCCGTTTCTGGGCCTTGCAGTTGATGACATAAAGTTACATTCCAGTTTTTGATTCACATAATAGGGATATCTAATTGTTTCACTCAATTTTTCTCAAGATAATAAAAAATACTTTAAGTGAGAGAGGTCATAGCTGTTTACTTAAGCTAAGCATAGCCTCAAACAGTACAAAAAAGGTACATTCAGTTGAAATATATTAGACTTTCCTTTATATGAAAGAGGACAAAAGATGTTTTCTTGAAGAAAATTTCATAGCCATTTTATGAAAGTATCATAGAAATTTATAGCTGCAAATTCTTCTTAGTTGTTATTTTAAATGTTGTAGTTATTTCTATTATGCCTTGATAATTGTTTAGAGTCCTGAATAGTTATTTTTCTATTATGCCTTGAAAATTATTTAGAGCCCTGAATTCTGCTTTATCTGGAAATCTTAATTAGGACAGCCCCAGTAAGTTTTTTGGCTTTTGTGTTTTTGTTTGTTTGGGCTTTTTGTTGTTGTTGTTGGTAAAGGAATGGATCCTGAAGAAATATGTATAGGTCCAGTTCCATATACTTGAGCTTTAATATTTGGCCCAGTGCAATGACTTAATCAGGCTAACAGGTTAGCAGAGATGACTCAGTTCATGTTGAATTTCTGTGCACAAGTTCAGTTCATCCTATGCATATGCATGTTTCTTTGTGTTTAACACAAAGAAGTTTGGGCCTCATTAGTATGCAGTCAGAGTCCATTTTTATTGAACCCAGGTTTCTAGAATCTCTTCATATTCATGTTTTTTATGTTTGCTTTTTGGATAGCATTATGATTTTATGTATTTAGAGCACAAAGCTAGTATGTATTGAAGACATTTTCTTTTGTGGACATTCAGAATAGTTATTTAGCTATCTAAAGTAATGGGACCATTTTCTGATATTTTTATCATGAAGAAGATTTTGTAGTAACTAATTGAAAATGAATTGGTTGGAAGGTGAAGAATCAGAGTAAATATTTTACTTTATGTGGCATTTAAGAAATTTTGAGTTTCTAGCATTTAAAGGAACAGAATTACTCTACCAGCCATCTGTTGTCTGATCTAAATGATACATATCTGCGTCTTATAACTTCTGTTTTACTAGCTTTAAATAGAATGTACTATATTTCAAGATAAAACTAAAGGAAACCCAATAATCTTGGTTAGCTTAAGTTGTATTATTCATGTGATTAAAGGATTTATGAGCATGTAGCTGAAAGAAATCCATTTTGGGACTGGCAGCGATATATTTCCAGTTTTATTTTAAGAAACTAGGAAGATTAGTAAAGTATGGAAAACAATAGAACACACATGTACTTAACACCCATAATTGATGGTTGTAATCATACTTGTTTTTTGGTTCCAAAGAACTTTTTTTTTTTAAGATTTTATTTATTTATTTGACAGAGAGAGACACAGTGAGAGAGGGAACACAAGCAGGGGGAGTGGGAGAGGGAGAAGCAGGCTTCCCGCTGAGCAGGGAGCCTGATGCGGGGCTCGATCCCAGGACCCTGGGATCATGACCTGAGCCGAAGGCAGACGCTCAACGACTGAACCACCCAGGCCCCCCTCCAAAGAACTCTTTATCAAGTTTTTTCCAACATACGCCTTCTTTTACTTAAAAAAAAAAAAAAGAAAGGGTAAAACACTACAGGTAGAGTTGGGGTCCCCTTTTCCCCCATTTTCAGTCCCATTACCCCTCCCTGACACAGAGAATCACTATTGTAGTGATTCATTTTTTTAATCTGTAAATTTTATGGTTTTTAAAGTTGTAATTTTCTATATTAGCTTATTTTTTTTAAAAGATTTTATTTATTTGAGAGAACACGAGCAGGGGGAGGGGCAGAGGGAGAAGCAGACTCCCCACTGAGCAGGGAGCCTGATGCAGGGCTTGGATGCAGGTCTCCATCCCAGGACTCTGGAATCATGACCTGAGCTGAAGGCAGACACTTAACTGACTGAGCTGCCCAGGCGCCCCTATATTAGCTTATTTTTAAGAAAAATAATTATGCTTTAATATTTTTCTTATCTTGTAGGAATTTTCTTATTGCTAAGGGGAAAATTATGAAGATAAAATTGGAGCCATCTTCTAAGTGTGCTTTGAGAAGGAAAAGACAGGTTAATAAGACTGATTTTATGTTTCTTTTAGAGACCTGCACCCTGACCTGAAGGGGCAGTTGAAAGAACTCAGAAAACATCTTGTGGAAAGCACCAATGAAATGGCACCTTTAAAAGTTTGGCAGTTGCAAGGTAGTAAACATGTAGAGGAATCACTGGCCTACTTTTTGACTAAATTTTATGGTATTAAAAAAAATTTAGAATTTGAAATTAATGTTATCTATTTGCCAAATTCTGAAGGTACCACAGCTTTTCAATATAGAGTGATTAATTATGACTAATCAGAAAAGAAAGGAAGTCCTTTTGGAGATAGATAACACTATGCAGAAGTAGATATAAAAATGAGTGCCAGATCTTTATCTGTGTAAACAGATACATAAGTGGGTAATAGTACAAACATGTTTGTCTTAGTCTTTATGTTTATATATATGTTTCTTGAACAATGTATCTGTTGAATGTTAAAGACATTAACATGGCAGGATATATTTTTGCTTTTCTGGTCCAAAGATCTAGTTATCACATTATTTTTTTTAACATAATTTACTAAAGTCTTTTGCTATACTTTGTGGGGACCTATGAAGTGCATAAAACCTGAAATTAAATCATGGGCACTCTCTGAAATGGTTACATTCTCAATTACCAAGAAAATTGTGAGAAAGAAATTTTTTTTCTTATTTCTCTTTGCATTAGATTAATGCACTTTAAATTGTATTTGACCTTGTTGCAGATCTCAGTTTCCAGACTTTAAATTGTATTTGACCTTGTTGCAGATCTCAGTTTCCAGACTGCTGCCCGAATCTTGGCTGCTCCTATTGAATTAGCTTTGGTAGTTATGAAGGATCTTAGTCAAAATTTTCCTACCAAAGCCAGGTAATAAAGAGTAAGGCTCTGACACATTTTTCTCTTTGACACATACATTAATTATCTTCATGTGTACATGCAAAATGAGGTGAGTAAAATATGAAAATGCTTAGAAAATTAAAGTTTTACTACCAGTACCATACCGCTAATCATGCTTCTTTTTGGGAAGGTGGCAATGCCATACACTGTGTGGTTGGAGAGACCCATCTAACTTGTGTCCTTGGCTCTGCCACTTGCTAGTTGCATGATGTTTGCAAATAAGCAACCTCTCTTTACCTCACTTCCTCAGCAGTAAAATGGAAATAATGATACCTACCTGTCAGGATTGGATGAGTTAACAAAATCTGATGTCTGCAGATATAACTAATCTAGGGTCTGGCATGGACTATAATGTTTTGTTCCTGAAGAGTTTCATATACATCATCTTATTCAAACTTGATGAGGAAAATGAGTTCTAGAGGCTTTTTCATGGTGACACAATAAGATTTTGAATGCAGCTTTTTTTTGATATTGCTTTCAGTTGTATAATGGTCCTCCACATCTTCTAAAAAATGATTTTAAAAGCCAAATTTTTAGAGACTAATGATTTAAATGGTTGCCAGTGTTTTTCTTGAATAACTGAACAAGGTGTTTTGACTTCTGATGTGAGATATTTTATAAATAAGTTTTTTTATTTGATTAGTCTTGGAAAATATTTCTTAGACTTATAAATCATAAAGTACATTCTCATTTAGCTCAGCAGGCTATTGAAGATATACATGTAGGATTACACCTCCACCAAAAGTGCTCAAATAGTATGAGCAGTCTGTCACCTTAATTTAACATTAGATTTTAGCCTGTGAACAGTAAAGATCATATATAGGAATGGAGTTACACATACTTAACCTATGATCTTGGGGATAACTGCACTTGCTTTAAAATGCTGCTACTGCTGCTACTTTTCTGTGGCATCATATCTTGTAGTAAAATGAAAATATACGTACACCTGAATGGAGAAATGTATTTAATTATTTGTGAAGGTGAAGGTTTTTTTTTTCATTTAGTTTTTTGTAATGTATTGAGCAATGTGTTGTTTTATACATAAATATAGGGAAATTGAAGACATTTATATCAAATGTTAAACTAAACACTAATAACATTTTTATTTATTCAGAGCAATAACAAAAACAGCAGTGAGTTCGGAACTTAGAACCGAAGTGGAAGAGAATCAGAAGGTATTACCCAGTGAAAAATCACTATTTTCCTTTCTGTTTTGTATTGTATCTTTAAAGATGAGGAAATCTGAGTTACATCAATGACATTTAACAGTTTTACCTCCTTTTAGTAAAGATGGTGGTGTTTTATTTCTGTAATCGTTTTTTATATTTTTAATTTTTAATCAGGGTTGAATATGAATATAATTCAAACATCAGGGGTGCCTGGGTAGCTCAGTTGATTAGGTGTCCAACTCTTTTTTTTTTTTTTTTAAAGATTTTATTTATTTATTTATTTGAGAGAGAGAATGAGAGAGAGAGAGCACATGAGAGGGGGGAGGGTCAGAGGGAGAAGCAGACTCCCTGCAGAGCAGGGAGCCCGATGCGGGACTCGATCCCGGGACTCCAGGATCATGACCTGAGCCGAAGGCAGTCACTTAACCGACTGAGCCACCCAGGCACCCCTAGGTGTCCAACTCTTGATTTTGGCTCAGGTCATGATCTAGGAGTCCTGGGATCAAGCCCCGTGTCAGGCTCTGCACCAGGTGTGGAGTCTACTTGTCCCTCTTCCTCTGCTCCTCTCCCCACTCCTGCTTGCTTGTGTCTGTGCTCTCTTTCTCTCTCAAATAAATAAATAAATAAAATCTTAAAAAAAAAAAAATCAGATGGTGCCACCACTTTGTTTAGATAAACAGCATCCTCCTAACATGACTTCCTCCCTGTTTTGTCCCCCTTACTAGAAGTATCTGCTTTCAACACTAAGCTAATTGTTTTGATATTTATCCCCAGATTTCTAGCAAGTTTGAACTGGTACGGTGTTTTCCAATTTCAGCCTTATGTCTTGGCCTCCATTACAAGGATGAAGTTTAACTTTCACTGCCCCTCACCCCTATGTCTGCCATTACTCCATATTGGTACTTCCTTGTCTCTCCAATTTCTCTGTATATTTTTGTTGTGATTTCATCGATTTTTGTTCTGCTCCACTGTAGTCTGGTGGTTCTTTATTTAGGGCATACCAGTTATCCTGGGACCTTGCTTTAATCTCTTTTGTTGGATCTCCTATTCTTGGATTCCAGGTCTTCTTTGTTTTTGGTTTACTCCCTTATTTTGGTGTAGCACATTATTCTTCATGAGAAGAGTTGCATGTGAGGTAAATTTCAGACTCTGAGAAATCAAATTTCTGATTTCTGTTTTTTTTTTTTTAAAGATTAATTAATTTATTTGAGAGAGAGAGAGAAAACACAAGCAGGGAGGCGGGGCAGAGGGAGAGGGAGAAGCAGTCTCTCCACTGAGCAGGGAGCCTGATGTGGGGCTCGATACCAGGACCCTGGGATCATGTCCTGAGCTGAAGGCAGACGCTTAACCGACAGCCACCCAGACATCCCTCCATTTCTGTTTTTATTGATATCTTGGCTGGGTATAGAATTCTAGATTGGAAGTCATTTAGAAGTTTTGTTACCGGACCAAAGTGGGTCTGCTCCTTCGTAAGTAATAAGACAGAGACTATACCAGGTAGAGTTGCCTTCAGAGGTCATCTTTATTTGTATAAATAGGGAGATCACAGGGAATAATTTCCAAAGCCATGACTGTTCCAATAGGGGTAAGCTGCCTCCTTTTATTAGGGTTTGGGATGACTATTCCCTAAACTGGGGACTTTAACATTATAACGCGGCTGAGGAAGGAGCACTTGCTGATTCATCTGCACAGGTGTCATCCATTATCCTCAAGTTTCTTTCTCTGTTCCAGCAATTTGTTAGTTTCTAAAAGATGAAATTGACAGACTGAACCTTTTAGGAGTTTCCTGAGTTCAGTAGGTCAGTCCTGAGTTCAGGGGGTCAAGGGTGACAGTTTGAAGGCATTGCTTCTTGGAATTTTGGTTTCTATTGTGGATATTGAGAAATCTGAACCCTTGGTATGAGATCTGTTTTTTCTTTCCAGAATCATTCAGGATCTTTTCTTCAGCCCTATAATCTGAAATTTCACAATGCTGTGCCTTTTAAGAAAATCTCTGTACTGTTGGGTGAATGGTGGCCCCTCCAAATCTGGAAAACAATTTCCTTTAGTTTTGGGAAATTTGCTTGAATTATCTTTGCCTCATTCCCTCTGGTTTCTCTTTTTTGTTTTCCTGGAATTCTTCATTTTTAAGGTATTGCATCTCCTTGACTAGTTTGTCCTAATTAAAAAATACATTTTATTTCTTATTTTCCAGTTCTTTTATGTTTTATTTTTAAACTTTCTGGGAAAGATTTTCAACTCCTTTGTTGATATTTTTTCTTCAGTTTTCAAATCTTTAATTTCCAAGAGTTACTGTTCTTAGATTCCTCTTTTTATGGTGTTCTTTTATCTTTCTGAAGCTATCAGTGGTGCATGTGTATGTTTTCTTCTCTCTTTTTATTTAGTTATTTAAAAATTTCTATTTATTTATTTATTTATTTTGTTAATCACCATATATTACATCATTAGTTTTTGATGTAGTGTTCCATAATTCATTGTTTGTGCATAACACCCAGTGCTCCATGCAGAACGTGCCCTCTTTAATACCCATCACCAGGCTAACCCATCCCCCCCGTCCCCTCCCCTCTAGAACCCTCAGTTTGTTTTTCAGGGTCCATCGTCTCTCATGGTTTGTCTCCCCCTCCTATTCCCCCCCCTTCATTTTTCCCCTCCTGCTATCTTCTTCTTCTTTTTTTTTTCTTAACATATATTGCATTGTTTCAGAGGTACAGATCTGTGATTCAACAGTCTTGCACAATTCACAGCACTCACCGTAGCACTTACCCTCCCCAATGTCTATCACCCAGCCACCCCCCCACCCCCCCCTCCAGCAACCCTCAGTTTTATTTATTTATTTTCAAGATTTTATTTATTTATTTGACAGAGAGAGACACAGTGAGAGAGGGAACACAAGCAGGGGGAGTGGAAGAGGGAGAAGCAGGCTTTCCCGCTGAGCAGGGAGCCCGATGCGGGGCTCAATCCCAGGACCCTGGGATCATGACCTGAGCCGAAGGCAGACACATAAAGACTGAGCCACCCAGGCACCCCTATTTTCTTCTCTCTTGCACCATCTGTTTCCTCTTAAGTTGACTTTCTTTTTGTCTTGGTCTCTTGTCTTTAATGTTAGAGGCTTTCCTTACATGTTTGGTGAACCGCTGCTCATATTGAAGAGAATGAGGCAGTAAAGAGCTTGTGGGAAGCCTTAAGAATGAGGCTTTTGACTGTAGGCTCTCCTGGTATGACAATTTCCTAGTTCACCCCAGTTCACCCTCAGGTGTCAGTATCCTGATACCTTTCCTCTTGAGCTGTTCAGTCACCAGAAAAGGATCTTCTGATCTTCTGCCTGGAGGGTGAAGTCTGGCTGCCTGAGTAGAACTTACACCCAGTCCCCAGTTTTCAGTGAGGGGTCCCTGCCCTCAGTTGTGCTTCATTTCCCCAAGTTCCCAGATTCTCTCTTTCACTCTTTCCAGGGAATTTTCCTTCATTTTTCTGGAGTAGAGGGAGTCATGACAGCAGTCACCTTACTGTGTGAGCAGGGGGGTCTGAGGGCTCTTATCTTTAAAAAGCTGTCCATCAGAACTCATTTTCTAGCCTAGTGATTACCCCCTTATACATGTGTTCTTTGTGCTGTCAATTCTTGAGCCTTTTGAAGAGTTCCACAGGATAACTTGTGGTTTCTGTTGGCTTTTCCCACTGTTGGCCTGCCATTCAGCTTTCTCGGGGTTGCTAAGACAGTTCCTATTCATGCATTTCCTTTCCACCTTCCAAAATTAATTGCCCTTTTTCTTTTTTTGTTCTCTTTGTTGTTGTGGATTTATAACTTTATAAAAGTCCTTTTTTAAAAAACTGACATTTCAACAGAGTTTCAGGAGGGAAAAAAAGAAATGCTTGTGTTCAGTCTACTAACTTTACCCCAGATTTTTAAAACCTTTACATGTGAGATATTAATTACATAGATCTGAGGAATAAGTAAACCAAATTTATCTCAAATATTTACTAAGTTGAAGAAACCTTATTAACAGTTTTTATTTACTTTATTTTTGATTTCCAGAATAACAGTACCAATACTTAAGCCTTTTTCCCCCGCAAGAGAACAAAACATTAAATTATATAGACTGTAGTATTTCCTGGATTCTTTTTTTTTTTATTAAATGTTTTGTTAAAGTATAAAATACAAAAATATACAACACATGCAAAAATGTGCACAAATGCTCTATCTTTAGTGTGATGCATTTTCACAAAGTGAACTTTGCTCTGTTACCAGCACCCAGATCTTGAAATAGATAGAAGTCATGTTTAGCAGCTCAGAATCAGTGTTTCTTACAGTCAGAAGGTGTACAGCCTGGGTGTCAGTGGACATGGAGTTTTTCTTGCCCATGTAAGAAATTCCATTTCTGAATTGATGCAACTTTCCATTTTCCCCTTATTTTATCTGCAATTTAATCCTTACAGGGCAAAGAAACAGAGGCTGTGGCTTCCTCATCGTTTTATGCTTTACGCATGCAATACTGGACCTTAAAGTTTACTTGTCTTAGTCTGCTGACTCCTGGGAAATGAAAGGAGCTCAACAGTCCCTGTCCTTCTTGTTCCTGTGAGAACTAAGGGCTTAAGTTCTGTCCCTAGTATCTGAGTAGTTTTTTCCCTTTGCTGTGTAGATTAGCTCCCTGTGGTGTAGAATATGAATAGTAGTCCCAGTTTCCTTGGAAGGAAAGAGTAATTAAATGGAAAGATAGAAGTCAACAGAAGCTACAGCATGGCATCCAAGCAGTGTGTCTGATGGGTCAGGCAGGTCTGAAGGGCTGCAGGGACTGCACAGTCACCTGTGTGTCAGGGAGCCACCGTCTCAGGGAGCAGCAGTTGAAGGGCCCCATGGAGACCAGGTCTTGGACAGTTGGGTGCACGTGGGTGCTGTCTCCAGGGCAGCAACTCAGCTTCTTAGTGTGCATTAGTTTGAAGGTTTAAGGGAGGTGTGGGGTCTTGAAGCCCTTTTAGATTAGATCCCCGGAGTTCATCAGGAAGGCCCAGCTGTTAATGACTGCTATCACCACCACCTTGGTTGGCATCACAAACAGTAAATAGTAAAAGAAGTCCCCTTTTATGAAAATGACCCTCAGCACTTGGCTTATTTAATCAATCTCCCTCCTCCTCCTTCCCCCAACATTATGGGAAACAGTTGTATTAATCGTAGTTGGAAGGAGGAAAGGGAGGAGAGGTATATTTTACATGAAACAGTAGTTTCATTACAATGTAGTAAATGCTAAGAATGGTCTGTGGGAGTACATAAAAGGAAATCTTAACCCAGCCTTAGGGTTTCCTATATTAAATAAGAGGGTGCAACATTTGCACATACACTAAAGTCAGAAAGATGGAAATTTTTGTTAAACATACTCTTCTTGCTCCTTAACTTTTTTTTTTTTTTTTAATATTTTAGTATTTCAAAGGAACTTTAGGATTACAGCCTGGAGATTCCGCGCTGTTTATCAATGGACTTCATATTGATTTAGATACACAGGATATATTCAGGTATGGATAATTTTTATGCTCTGGAAAGGTTTTATGATGTTAGCTTCTCATAGCATGTTCAGATTGTTTTTCCTACTTGACGTGGCATGTTGCAAAGCCTAATGGCTTATGAGATGGAGTGAGTAATGAGTCCTGAGTCCTGAGTGGATGACTGGGATGACACAATAATACTGTCATTTGTTATTATAATGTACTTTCAAGGCCTTGGACATTGAAGGCCTAAGTGTCTTTTGTGGATGCCCTTTTAGAGCTATAGTTTTTCTCTTATCCATAAAAAAAGAGTGCAAGTGGGTTCTTTTACTTATGGAAACAGTGTGCAGTAGGTTTATTCAAAATGCTGCCTCTGCCTCCCGTGTCTCAGAAGGTGTTCCATCTTACATATATTATTTGAATATCTAGGGACGCCTGGGTGGCATAGTTGGTTAAGTAGCTGACTGTTGGTTTCGGCTCAGGTCATGATCTCAGAGTTGTAATCTTAAGAGTCATGAGATTGAGCCCCATGTGGAGTCTGCTTGGGTTTCTCTTTCCCTCTCCCTTTGTCCCTCCCTTGCTCTCTCTCTCCTTTCTCTCTCAAATGGATAAATACATCTTAAAAAAAAAAAAAGAGTATCTACCTTTTTATATTGTTAAAATGTAGTTCAGGACTAACTTGCTCTAAATTGACCTTATGAATTTTGGGGGGCGGGTGGATAGTTAGGTAGAATTCAGATTTTGTTCTTGGAATTAAGATTGACACAGTTGACACTATGGCTTCATAATAGTGAAAACAAAAGCTACTGCTACTGCTTCCGAAGAACCAGTTCCCCCAATAAGATATTTTAATTGAGCTTTTATGTCCTTCTCCTGCTTTTCAGAGCTAGTAAAAAATAAAATGGTTGTGGATGCTTTAAAAAGATTGTCCAGATTTGTAATTTTTTTTTAAGTAAAAAATATGCGCCTATCTCTTTAATTTTTCAGAGTTTACAAATTGAGTACTTGCTTATTTAAACAGTTTTAAGTGATACACAGATAAAAGAACTAAGAAAAGGAGAGTCTTCATCCTGGCTTCTTATTTCTTCTTCCTTCCCATCTTTTCTACCTTCCCTAGCAAACCTTTACGTTGGGTATAAATTCTTCCAGACCTTTTACTGTGGTTGTATATGTGTGCATCTTGTAAATTGACACTGATGTTGTAACCTATGTTAAATCTATATAATGTAGTTTTTTTTTTTTTAAAGATTTTATTTATTTATTTGAGAGAGAGAGAATGAGAGAGAGCAAGCACATGAGAGGGGGGAGGGTCAGAGGGAGAAGCAGACTCCCTGCCGAGCAGGGAGCCCGATGCGGGACTCGATCCAGGGACTCCAGGATCATGACCTGAGCCGAAGGCAGTCGCTTAACCAACTGAGCCACCCAGGCGCCCCTAATGTAGTTACTTTTTAAAATAAATTTTTAATTATGAGATAATTGCAGATTTATGTAGAAATAATACAGAGAGGTTACCATAGTGTTTTTTTTTTAAAACATGCGGTGTAAAATTCAGATGAGGATTATTTCATCCTCAAATTGTGTATTTATATTTAGAGATAATTTTATACCTGATAGATACATTGGTAAGTTTAATAAGAAGCAAGTCCTACCTACTTCGTTCTCTATATTTTGATGAGATGAAGCAAGGGGAAGAGCTCCCTTTTTTGATTTCTTGGCTAGTTTGAACAGGGCATTGAATTTGAACTGATAAATCTTTTCATGGTGAGGGTTTTTTTTGTTTTTAAACTTTTTCTACTAAATACCTTTTTTCCCCCCAGTCTGTTTGATATATTGAGGAATGAAGCTCGGGTAATGGAGGGTCTGCATAGATTGGGAATAGAAGGCCTTTCTCTGCATAATGTTTTGAAACTGAACATCCAGCCCTCTGAGGCCGACTATGCTGTAGACATCCGGAGTCCTGCTATTTCAGTAGGTATTCTGTTGGAGTGTCCAAGGGGCACTGGCATTTTGTTATGGTTTTCTCATTGTGTTTTGTGCATATATGTGAGAATTTATTTGGGGTGGATACCTAGAACTAGAATACTTCTCTAAAGTGACTGTTTTCCTCTCTCAAGTGACTATTCCAGGCACCAGCATTGGGTGAGAGTTCCAATTGCTCTACACCCTTGCCTGTTCTTGGATATTGACAAACTTTAAAATTTAATGATTGTGAAATTTCACTGTGGTTTTAGTTTCTAATTCTCAGATTACTAGTGAAGATGTACATCTTTACTTGTGTTAATTGCCTTGTTGGATTTCCTCTGTAAATTTCTTCATATCCGTAGCTTATTTTCTTTTCTCATATGTTGTGGACCTTTTTTTATTGATATGTTAGATTTCTATACATGGTCTTGATACTAGTTCTTTAATGGTTTTATAGGTTGCAAGTATCTTCTGTTCTGTGGCTTGTGTTTTAGTCACTCATTTTTCTACTTGATCTTTGTATTTTTGAAAATGGTCTTTCCCATGTGATTCTTCTTAAAATCATTTCAAGTCTTACTGTTATTTCTGGTAATTTCACTAATAGTGACTAAAGTGTATGCACCATGTTGTGCTATTTTTTTCCTAGTGGATCAACAACTTGGAGGTTGACAGCAGATACAATTCATGGCCTTCTAGTCTACAAGAGTTGCTTCGACCCACCTTTCCTGGTGTTATCCGGCAGATCAGGAAAAACTTGCATAACATGGTGAGTAAAACTACTAATTGTCTGTGATGAGCTCTGTTTCTCTCTTGCCTTCTCGCCTACTTTTAAGCCATATCTAGACTGTTCATTTCTGTCCTGTAATAGCTGCTTCTCCCATCACTATCACCACTAAATATGTTCTTCTTCTACCTCCATATTCAAACTGAAGGGTTTTTAAATGTATTGATCATGTGTGAGGCTGTGAGATGTCACAGTAGCAATACTGCCTCCATCAGCTTGTAAAGAAATGTTCCTCATCCTCAACCTGAAAGTTTAGGCCATGTTGTTTTAGTTTTTTAAGATTTATTTTAGAGAGAGAGCACGCGAGCGAGCATGCAAGCAAGAGCGGGGGGAGGGGCGGAGGGAGAAGGAGGGAGAGAGAATTTTTTTTTTTTTTTTTAAAGATTTTATTTATTTATTTGAGACAGAGAGAATGAGAGAGACAGAGAGCAAATGACAGGGGGAAGGGTCAGAGGGAGAAGCAGGCTCCCTGCCGAGCAGGGAGCCCGATGCGGGACTCGATCCCGGGACTCCAGGATCACGACCTGAGCCGAAGGCAGTCGCTTAAGCAACTGAGCCACCCAGGCGCCCGGGAGAGAGAATCTTAAGCAGACTCTGCATTGAGCGTGGAGCCTCACGTGGGTCTCGACCTCATGACCCTGAGATCACAGCCTGAGCCGAAACAGAGAGTCAGACACTTAACCGACTACGCAGCCCAGGGGCCCCTTATTTTAGTTTAAAGATAGTTTTATGCAGAAGATGAATATGCTGCTACTCTTTTCCTTTAATATCTTAATCTCTAAAACTTAAATAAATCTTTCTGTGAGCTCCTACTTGTTATTCCTTATTTCACTGCTTTAGAGAGAGAGAGGAGGAGGTTTCTTAGTTGGCCCTCTTTTTCCCTGTCATTTCTTCCTTTTCCACCATTTACTCTTAAAGAGATTGGGGGCAGGTCTCCTTCCCCAAAACGTGCAAGGGAAACTGTCCTCTATACTTGTCTCACTTTTGAAACCACTTTATTCCTTCCTAGTCAAAATTTCATCCTCTTTTTCTTACTATATATCTGAACTTATTAAACGGGGTTATATATGTGTTTAAAGCACATCATGAGATCTTAATACATGATAGCTATTATTGTGATCTAAAAATTGAGTTTTAAATGAATTCTTAATTCAGAAATGCTTAGAAATGAATACACAGAAAAGATAATCTCAGTTTTCTAAGGTAGGAGAGTTCTTAAAACTTGGGTTTTTTTAGGTGTAGTAAAACTATGGATGTTAGTAATCTACAACACAGTTCCCATGTTATTAGCAGAATATCATGAGAGTACTGCATTCTTTTGAACATTAAGGAGGGAAACTGCTGTTTGTGTAACTCCTCTTTTGTGTGGTTCAGGAGTTCCTGGAAGTACAAAGAGTAACAGCATTTTTATGTGACATTAGAATAAATTTCATTTTATGTGTTCCCTTCCCCCTTCCCCTTTACAGGTTTTCATAGTTGATCCTGCTCATGAGACCACAGCAGAGTTGATTAACACAGCTGAGATGTTCCTCAGTAATCATATACCACTAAGGTAACACTGGTATTGATTGAATGATATATATCTAATTAGCGGAGGTTTTGTCATTCTTAAATGCAAGTCTGGTGCTACTGGATAATTAATAGTCGGATCATTAATGGCAGTTGTATCTTTTGTTTAAGTATGAAGCAGTATCTTTTGGGGTAGAAAATTTGATTCTCAATGGATAAAAGCTTACCACCAGTGAATTATTAATAAATAGCTCATGTAAAAATAGTTTGTGGTCTCAGCTTGCTTCCTAGTGAAAGGGAATTTTCCTAGGTAAGTGTCCACATCACAAAGCCTATTTCTGCTTTCCCTGGAGATAAAGAGCTTTGCCAACAACCTTTTTAGACTGGCAAGGACTAAATGTACCTGTAGCTTTTTGTAGACGCAGACACACTTGTTTTATTTGCATTGCCAAATCTACCAACAGGGTACTTGAATGGCTGGGTTTTTCACTGTGCTTTTTTAAGAACAGCATTTTAATGCTTTACAAATACATGCTAAGATATTTTCACTTATATTTTTTTTCAAAGATTTTATTTACTTATTTGAGAGAGAGAGAGAGAGAGTGAGAGATTGAGATCACGCGCAAGGGGGAAGGGTAGAGGGAGAAGCAGACTCCCTGCTGAGCAGGGAGCCTGATGTGGGACTCGATCCCAGGACCCTGGGATCATGACCTCAGCCGAAGGCAAACGCTTAGCCCATTGAGCTACCCAGGCGCCCATTTTCACTTATATTCTGAGTAATGTCGACCAAAATCTGAATTCTTAGAAAAGATGAAAATAGAGAAGAACAAAAGTCTAGCTAACAAATGTAGTGTGTTCTGTGCCCAGCACTGAGCTAAATGCTGTGGATAGTGTCTAAGCTGTATTCCTACCTTCTTGGAAAAAATACTGTTCATACTTTCAGACACTTTAAGAAAATATTTGATCAGATTCTAGGTTATGTCCTAGTCATAGTGCTTTAGAATTTCAGGGAAGCAAAAGATAGTGAACTAAGATATTTGGGAGGGACAAAGGTTTCATGGAACAGTTGGATATTAGTTAAGCTTTGAAGAAAATAGAGGGTTTTTGTTGATGGAAAAGTAGAGATTTTGTTTAGTGAAATTTTTCATGTAAAACATGCATACCCCCTGGTTTGATGGAGGACTGAATTACTGGATTGCAGCCAGAGCTATATTTTGATTAAAAGAGAAATAAAAGAACACAGAAGAAGTTGGCCCATGTTACACGATGGGCACTAAGTAAATATTTGTTGAATTTCATTGAGGGACAAGAAGAGGGAATGCGGTTTTCACATTGTGAAGGTAGGTGAGAAGACACTTAATGGCGGTAGAGAGGAGTGTTGGCATACATAGTTGGTGGAGAGACCCAAGGCAGACTGGCTATTGTTTTAGTCTTTGTTTCCCTTGATGTGGTACACCAGGTTGTTGACAGGGGCTGAGGAGAGGAGGGGACAAACCTGGGAGACTCCCTAGTGGTACTTGTTAAGAGACTGGGCCTGAGAGAAACAGAAGTCTGAAGGGGCCTAGCTAACAGAAAAACTCTGATGCCCTTTCTAGAAATTGGAAACGTGGAAAGGGGAATTCCTTTGTGAGGAGATACTTAGCTCTTATTTTTGTTTTCATAAGAATAACATTTAAGGGCGCCTGGGTGGCTCAGTTGGTTAAGCGACTGCCTTCGGCTCAGGTCATGATCCTGGAGTCCCGGGATCGAGTCCCGCATCGGGCTCCCTGCTCAGCAGGGAGTCTGCTTCTCCCTCTGACCCTCCCCCCTCTCATGCTCTCTCTATCTCATTCTCTCTCTCAAATAAATAAATAAAATCTTTAAAAAAAAAAAACATTTAAGTCATTTCTGCCTAGAACCTACTCATATGATTTCTGTTTTAAGTGGGATTTTAAAAAACAAACACAATTTTTATCTATAAACAAACTCTCTTGCCACCACCATCTACATATACACACACTCTCTACATACCACAGGAGAGCATGATGTTTGATATGTATCTTTTTGTATTTTCTTCTATTTTTAGGCTTTACCTCTTTCTCTTTTTAATTAATAGACTTTGTATTTTTTAGAGCACTGTTAATTAATTAGCCTGTATTGATACATTATTATTAACTAAAGTTCATAGTTTACATTTGGGTTCATTGTTTGCATTGTATAGTCTGTGGGTTTTGACAAATGTGTAATGACATGTTTCCACCATCACACAGTCCTACAGAATAGGTTCACTGTCCTCCACATCCTCCGTGCCCCACCTGTTTGTCCTTCCCTCTCAACTGCTGGCAACCACTGGTCTCTTTACTGCCTCCATTGTTTTGCCCTTTCCAGACTCATGATATATATATTATTTATTTGACAGAGAGAGACACAACGAGAGAGGGAGCTCAAGCAGGGGGAGTGGGAGAGGGAGAAGAAGGCTTCCTGTGGAGCTGGGAGCCCGATGCGGGGCTCAATCCCAGGACCCTGGGATCATGACCTGAGCTGAAGGCAGACGCTTAACAACTGAGCCACCCAGGCGCCCCTGTCTTTGTCTTTTTATGGCTTGATATAGACCATTTCATTTTATCACCAAATAATGTTACATTATATGGAGGTACTCTGGTGGTGGTGTTTTTTCTTTTTTAATCCAGTCACCTATTGGTAAACATCTTGGTTGCTTCCAAATTTGTGTAATTATAAATAAAGTTGCTGTAAACATCCGTGTGTAGATTTTTGTATGGACATAAGTCTTCAGCTCATTTGAAGAATACCAAGGGGCACAATTGCTTTATCTTATGGTAAAAAGTGTTTTATAAGAAATTGCCACACTGTCTTCCAAAGTGGTTCTACTATTTTGCATTCTTACCAGCAATGAGTAAGAGTTCCTGTTGCTCCAGGTTCTCTCCAGAATTTGGTGTTGTCAGTGTTTTGGATTTTAGCTATTCTAATAATTGTGTAGTGGGATCCCATTGTAGTTTTTTTTTTTTTTTTTAAGATTTTATTTATTTATTTGACAGGGGGAGAGATAGCGAGAGCTGGAACACAAATAGGGGAAGTAGGAGAGGGAGAAGCAGGCTTCCCGCTGAGCAGAGAGCCCACTGCGGGGCCGAGCCCAATGCGGGGCCGATCCCAGGACCCAGGGATCGTGACTTGAGCCGAAGGCAGACGCTTAACGACTGAGCCACCCAGGCGCCCTCCATTGTGGTTTTAATTTGAAATTCCCTAAATACATGATGTTGAACATCCTTTTTTTTTTTTGCTATTTGCCAACTCTGTGCCTTAGTTGCTGAGGTACTAATTCAGATCTTTTGCCCATATTAAACTTTTTGTTGTTGTTGAGTTTTAAGAGTTCTTTGTATATTTTGGATATCTGTCCTTTATCAGGTATGTGTTTCTTAGTTTCCCACAGGTTTTCTACCAGTCTGTGGCTTGTTCTCATTCTCTTAATGGTCTCTTTCACAGAGCAGAAGTCCCAATTTCAGTGAAGTTTAGCTCATCCCTTTTTTTGGGGGGGTCATGGATCATGTTTTTGCTTGTTAGATCTAATAAGTCGTTGACCAACCCAAGATCACCTAAATTTTCTGTGTTCTTTTCTAGGAATTTTATAGTTGTGTTTTATATTCATGTTTATGATCCATTTTGAGTTAATATTTTGTGAGAGGTATAAGTTCTCTGCCTAGATTTGTTTTTTTGCATTGTGGATATCCAGTTCCATCACCATTTGTTAAAAAGACTGTCCATTCTCAGTTGAATTGGTTTTGCTCCAGTATGTAGGCTGGTGACTTCTGTATTGGCCAGTGCAAGTTTTTTGCTTTTTTTTTTTTTTTTGCCAGTTTATAGTTGTGTAATGGTATCTTTTTGTGGTTCATTCTTATAATTTAATTTAAATTTTAAAATGTAATGAACATTAACCTTGGTTGTAGCTTTTTGCCAACAGATAATAGTAAACATTTTTATGTTTTCCATTTACCTATGATTTTCATCTTGCCTATGTTAATCCCAAAATCCACCCCCCTTTTTATATATTTTCACATTCTGAAAATGTTCACTTCCCCTAATTTTTGCTTAAAAACAACAAAATCTCCAGCTAAAACTATAACAGAATCCTTCATGTCAGTAAAGGCCTTTCACCATGTGGAAGCAGTGTGGTTTAACAGTTGAAAAGTCTAAGCCACCTTTGGGAACCTGCTTTTCTATTCTGTAAGTGATGAAAGCCTTTGCCCAGTGTATTAGAGTAGGATGTGAACTGTGCTTTTCGTAGAGGAAGTTACAATATGTGAGTGGGATACAGGGATGCCATTCTTTTTAACCAATTGCATTTTTTGAGATAAGTTTCTTTTTCTTCTTTTTGCCCTTCCCCCTCTCCCCAGAATTGGTTTAATCTTTGTGGTTAATGACTCTGAAGATGTTGATGGGATGCAAGATGCTGGAGTGGCTATTCTGAGAGCGTATAACTATGTTGCCCAAGAAGTGGATGATTATCATGCCTTCCAAACTCTGATACATGTATGTTTTCAATCAAAATGGCGAATAATTTTCTTAATTTAACTTACTCTGAGAACCAGTATGAGTTAAGAGGATTTTATATTTCTGTAAAGAGAAAAAGCTTGATATATTATTCTCTCAACCTTTGTGTTTTATATTTAAGGAGTTGCTTTTACTGATTTACTGATGTTAATAATAAATTGCTGTGATCTCAGCTAAGATAAGATTCCTTAGGAGCCCTACTAATGTACCTTATTAGTCTTCTGCCTTTTGGTGACTTGAAAACACTAATTAATTTTTCTTTTTTTTTTTTTTGTAAATGTGATGTTCTCTGCTTGTTTAAAAAAATGTTTGCTTTTTTTCCTTTTAAGGTCTTTATGATATTTTCATTTAATTAATATTCAAATCATAAATTCTTATTGTCTATTTTCTCCATATTTTTACCTTGGGAACTGAAATACCCTGAGTTTTATATATACTTAAGATACTTTCTTCAGTTCAAACAAGGAACTCTCTTTTTTTTTTTTTTTCTATTTTTGAATATAAAAAATTTATAAATAATAGTTCTTTTGCTTACAGATTAGTGGTAATTATTAGAAAACCATCTTTAAAGCAGTTGATTTTCACCACTTATTTTTTAACCTATAAACATGTCAGCCTGCTGTTTATTATGTTTGTTATATTTATTGTTTAGAGATTCAGTCTGGAGCATTTTTTATTAGTTAAAATGTTCATTTATTTATTTGGCTAACATCTATTAGAGACTAAAGGCCTGGTACTAGCTGCAAGGGATACAAAGAAGAGTAAGGCTTCACCCCTGTCCTCAAAGACCTTGCATTCTAGTGGGGGACATGTCCATGCAGATGGTTAATGCACTGTGGGAAGGACAGCCAACTGTGGCAGCACTAGACCTCACTCTACTAGGGATGGCATTGTTGTGGAGTGGGAAGTTGTCCCAGCTGAGTGTAGGAGGAAAAACAGGAGTCAGTTGAACAATGGCTGCAAATCAGAGGTAGTGATTTCCTTTGTCTGTATGGCTGAGAGGGGAACCTATTTGTCGAGGCTGTCAGGCCAGGCAATGAGTGTCCAGCTTGCAGAGGTTAAACTCCAGTTAAAAACATCATTCTGATGCATGTATGGAGACGGGTCTGATGGAGGGTAGACGGTGGCAGGGATAGTGGTTGGTGAGCTGTTGCTGGGATCTCTGTGAGAGATGATGGTGAAGGTGGTTAGCAGTAGGGCCATAGAGAAAGAAGTAAGTTCAGAAGGATTTGCTGAGGATGTGTTTTAAAGTCTGCTTTTTAAAGTTGTTCCCCCACTCCCATAGCTGTGTATATGAAGGATGTATATGTATATGAGTTTTCATTTTTTCAAATTTTTATTTGCAACAGCAAAAACATTCTGTGTTCATTGTAAAATTTTTTAAAAATAATATTAAAGTGTATCGATTTAAAATTTCTCTGTCTTTCCCTTTCCTAATCCTGCTCCTTAAAGACAGCCACTATTAGAAGGTTGTCTTATATCCTTCTAGGTGTTTAACTGTATACAGACACAGTTGTGTTGTTATTTGTTTTATATCTGCTTTTTAAAAACAAGGTTTTTGCCATACATATTTTATAACTTTCGCCCCCCCTAAACATCATGGCCATGAGTTCTTATTTCAAGGATTATGTAAAGGTGTTCAGATTTTTAAAAAATTAACACATTTTTGCATTTGGGACTTAATGTGAGTATGAGCTGATTGGGTCATTTTAAGAATATGTAGTTTCTAATATAAGAAGGTATCTTAAGGAAGTATATGAAAAAGGGAGAATTGCTAACCTGTTGCATTTCACCTTTCAAGAAAAATAGCCATGTTTTCTCTCTACATTCAGAAATCTTTTGTAATAAACATTCTGAAATTTGGATTTAAAAGTGCATTTGGTTGCCTGATTTTTCTTTCTTCAGATATATAACAAAGTAAGGACTGGAGAAAAAGTAAAAGTTGAACATGTGGTCAGTGTCCTAGAGAAGAAGTATCCATATGTTGAAGTGAATAGCATTTTGGGGATTGACTCTGCCTATGATCACAATCGGAAGGTAAGAAATTCTTTTGCGCTTCTCATTTTACCACAATGCTATGCTTTCCTTACCTTCCTTTTTTGGGGAGTTGTCATTAATAAGGGTAGTGGTGGTTAAAGTATTTAGGTGCTTAGCATTTAACAGTTTAGAAACCAGGTTACTTTTTTGTGTTTGCGAATGCAGTTTATATTTCAAATTTGTGACGATATCATTGATTTTTAGCTGGCATATTAACTATTAAATTGAAAAACAAATTTCTTTTACACAGTGCAGTGGTAGTACTTGTGTGATGTATATTCCACATAAAAGCTATTAGAAGTGTATAATGTATGCTTACAATATTGATGTTGTTTAGGCTAAAGATAAAAATATATTAAGAAATGTAATAAAGCAGAATGGCAAAGTATGGTAATAAGGATATAGGGAAATATTTAAAAATTTTATTTAAAGATAATACTATTTTTTGTGAGACATTAAATACAGTAAAAGGACCTTTATCTGTTGCAAGCAGGAACAAGGTAGTCAGTTTATTGAAAATAAATGTTCAGGCAAGGAATCTAAATACATTTCTGAGACATTTTAATTTAAAACAATAAAAATGTATTTATGAACTTTTTTTACTTTTAAGTGAAGGAGATGTTTCTTCATGGTTCAGTCTTGGTAGGCTGTATGTCTTTAGAAGTGTATCCATTACTTCTTGGTTACCCAGTTTGTTGGTATAAAATTGTTCATAGAAGTCTCATGATACTTTGCATTTCTGTGGTGTCAGTTGTAATGTCTCCTGTTTTCTGATTTTATTTACTTAATTTTTTTCTCTTTTTTCTTAGTCTAGCTAAAGGTTTGCCAATTTTGTATCTTTTAAAAAACAGCTTAGTTGGGGCGCCTGGGTGGCTCAGTTGGTTGAGCGACTGCCTTCGGCTCAGGTCATGATCCTGGAGTTCCTGGATCGAGTCCCACATCGGGCTCCCTGCTCAGCGGGGAGTCTGCTTCTCCCTCTGACCCTCCCCCCTCTCATGTGCTCTCTCTCTCCCTCATTCTCTCTCTCTCAAATAAATAAAAAATAAAAAAAACAACAAAAAAACCCAGCTTAGTTAACTTTTCTATTTGTTTTTCTGGTCTCTGATCTTTCTTTCTTTCAGCTAAATTTGGGTTTAGTTCTTCTTCTTTCCTAGTGTCTGGTGGTGTAAAGTTAGGCTTTTTATTTGAGATCCTTCTTTTTTCTTAATGTTGGCATTTATCACTATAAAATTCCTTCTCAGAACTACTTTTTCTGCATCCTTTAAGTTTTGGTGCATTATATTTCCATTTTTGTTTATTTCAAGATGTTTCTTTATTTCACTTTTCATTTATTCTTTGACTCACTGATTAAGGAGTTTGTTGTTTAATTTCTACATAATTGTAAATTTTCCAGCTTTCCTCATGTTACTGATTTCTAGAATATTTCATATGTGCTTAAGAAGCCATGTATTCTGCTGCTGTTGGGTGGAATATTCTGTATATGTCTTTTAGGTCCATTTGGTTTAAAGTATAATTAAATTCCAGTGTTTCTTCACTAATTTTTGTTTGGATTATTTATTGGATTATCTATTTGGATTATTTATGTTGTTGACAGTGAGGTATTGAATTCCTCTACTCACATTGTGTTGTCTGTTTCTCCCTTGAGATTTGTTACAAGTGTGTTTTCTGTTGCTGCTTTTAATATTTTCTCTTTGTCTTTGATTTTTAACAGTTTTATTATAATGTGTCTTGCAGAGGATCTCTTTAAGTTGATTTTGTTTGGTGACCTATAAGCTTCATGAACTTGAATAATCAAATCTCTCCCAGATTTGGGGACTTCTCAGCCATTATTTCTTTAAATAAGCTTTTCGATCCCTTCTCAAACCTCTTGTCTCCTTCTGGAACTCTAGTAAATTTGCAAATCATCTAGATAACATTTCTTTCATTCTTTTTGTTCTTGTTGTTCTCCTCTGGATAATTTCAAAGTTCCTGTCTTCTAACTTACAGATTCTTCTGCTTGATCCATTCTGATAATAATGCTATTTCATTTTTCCTTTCATTTATTGTGTTCTTTGGCTCCAAAATATCTGTTTGGTTCTTTTTTATTATTTCTCTCTCTCTTACTAAACTTTAAATTTTGTTTGTGTGGTTTTTTTTATTTTGTTGAATTATCTTTCTGTCTTTTCTTGTAATTGAGTTTCCCTTTATAAACAACTTTTTTGAATTCTTTATTGGGTAAATCACAGATGTCCATTTCTTTGGAATTGGTTACTGAAAGATTATTGCTATCCTTTGGTGCTATCATGTTTTCTTGATATTCCTTGCAGTTTCATGTTGCTTTTTTGCATTTGAGGTAGCAGTCACCTCCCACAGTCTTTATCTACTGCCTTTGGGAGAGAAGTACCTTTTGTCAGACCTGCTAGGAATTCTGAGGCTTTCTCAGGCCATCTGTGGATACATATACTCCATACTTGTTCTTTCTTGTACAGAATTCTTAAGCATGCCTAATTTTCAATTCTACAGTGCCCAAGGCTGGGTGCTGACTGCCCTTCTTTTGTTTTCCCCAAGGTGGCCCTAACGCTCCAATATTTTGTCTCTCTGGCCCACACATTTGGGCTGGTTTTCTGTGCTTGCTCACTAGCCATCTGGTTAAAGCTTACTCTTGCCACCACTGTCAGGAGCATATACAGGGAACTGGCCACAGGGTGAGGGTGAGTGTAGGTGGGGTGTGTCCGTGAGCCATTTGGTGGAATCTGTGGATGAAGTGTCCCCAGTGGCTCATGGGTGGGCTTCTTGTTGGAGTCTGTGATGCAGTAAGTAGGATCCATCCCCTTTAAATGCTTTCTTAGTACTGTCTGCTGCCCTCTTCCAGCTTCTTTCTACCCCCAGTCACACAGTTCACAATTCAGTACTCTAGATGGGGTAAGAGAGAAATGAGCCTCTTTGGCAGTATTCCTTATAGTGGGGGAAGTTGAGTGCTTGCCTGCCTGCTCACTTGCTCTCAGTTTCCCCCCTGCAGGAGAAATCATGGGCCCAGAAGATCTCTCTTGGCCCTAAGCTGTGCTGCTTTGGGGGAGGGCTGATGGGAGTGAAGTTAGACTGTTCTTCTTATCTTTTCCAATGCATTCAATCTCATATTTTTTAAAAATTTATTTTATTTTATTTTTTTAAAGATTTTATTTACTTGAGAGAGAGAGAGTGGGAGAGCACAAGCAGGGAGAGTGGCAGGCAGAGGGAGAAGCAGGCTTCCCACTGAGCCGGGAGCCCGACATGGGACTCGATCCCAGGACCCTGGGATCATGACCTGAGCCGAAGGCAGACGCTTAACCAACTGAGCCACCCAGGCGCCCTCATATTTTTTTTGCTCCAGTGGGTTCTCAGGCTATGGCTAGGAGGGACTGGAGCCAGTTGATGAGCCAATGCAGGGTCCACAGATGGGGTTGAAATCTGTATGTCTGTTACGTGATGCATGGGTGGGTGAACCTTCTTCTGGGTTCCTTGGCATATGGTACTGGATCCCAAACCTTCCACAAAGGCACTTTTGTCTGTGGATAGATGCCAAATTGTTGTTCAGGATTGGGAAGCACCAATGAGTTATGTTCTCTTCAGCCACGATACTGATGGCACTCATGCTTTAGTGTTAAGTCTCCTTGTTTTAAAGTGTATTAAGTCAGGTTTAGTGTTGCGGCTGGTCATGAGGTCTATTCAGGGTAGACTGAACATGGTTCCATTGTTCTGTTGTATCCTTCTGTTCACTCACTTGCCTTACGTGTTATTTAAAATAAAACTGATATGGTACCCAGTGATTTTCTAGATAGACACAAACAGTAAGAATAATACTCCGTAGAAAAAGAATAGATGAAATAAAAGGAAAGAAGGGCCACTTTGGGAATGCCAAAGAATTGAGGGAATTCATGAAGTTTTCTCATATTTTACATTTGGAAAATGTGTAACTTTCTTTTTTAATTTTTAATTTTATTTTTTTTCCCTTGGAAGGGAGAAGTGCCTGATTTTACCCCAGTGTGCTTGCTTGCTTGCTCTTTACCATTTTACCATTAGATCTTACATTGTTTAAAAAATTTTTTTAATTCAAGTATAATTAACATACAGTATTATATTAATTTCAGATGTACAGTATAATGATCCAACAATTCTGTACACTACTCAGTGCTCGTCATGATAAGTGTACTCTTGATCCCCTTTATTTAACTCATCTCCTCACCTGGAAAACGTTTCACTTTAATTTTCTCTCATCCTACTGAAGAAACAGTACACATTTCCTTTTCATTGTGGATGATTGCTATGTCAAAGGTATTTTCTTGAGAAATATTAGACAAATTGATAAAAAGGATATTTTTATATGTATTGAAATCTTGATTTTACTGATGAATCAAATATATGTGTCACAAACCTAGCTCCTCAGTAATTTCCCAGTCTTGGCTCTTTTCCTCATCTGTACTGATTAGAGGCCCTTCCTATGTAAGCAGATGATCTTAGACCACTTAATTTCCTAGGTATTTGAGTAAACATACTTTCATGACAAGGATGTTGTGAGATTCCCAGAAGTCCTAAGAATCTAATGATTAATAAGATTTTCAAAACTGTAGCAGCTGTGCCTCCACCTGAAAAAGCCCAAGAAAAAGATTCTTTTGAAAAATTTTTAAGGAGGAATAATATCATTTAGCAGTTGTTATTACACTTATAAATATCTGTGCTGGGGTGTCTGGGTGGCTTAGTTGGTTAAGCAGCTGACTTGATTTCAGCTCAGGTCATGATCTCAGGGTCCTGGGATCAAACCCTGCATCGGGCTCTGTGCTGGGTGGAGAGTCTGCTTTAGGATTCTCTCTCCCTCTGCCCCTCCCCCTTTGCGCATGTGCGTGCGTGCTCTCTCTCTCTCTCTCTCTGTCGTTCTCAAATAAGTAAATAAAAGTCTTTAAATAAATATCTGTACCTTTTGTATAAATCTGAAGCTATGATATCCTCCGTCTAGGGTATTTGAAAGTTGTAATTATTTGTACTAGGCAGTATAATTAAAGTAGCATTTTTAAACGGAAGATAATGTAGTCTGATAGGTGTATATTTATATCTTTCAAGCTAATAAGATAGATAATGATATTTAAGAAAAGTCCTAACTTATACATGTAGACATTTTGCGTTTGGCATGTTAACTCTGAGTCCTTATTAATTTCAGTTATCATTGTGAGTAGCTCATTCATAAGACCTCGCCTGTAATTATTAAGGTTTTTAAATTATTTATAGTTAACATTTTTAGTTATTGATAGAAAGTCTCATGTAATTTTTAAGTTTGCCTTTTTGGTAATTAGGCTGCATTCTGTTATTTGGTCTGGTAAATTTTTTATGGTTTGTAAGAAAAGAAGATATATATAGTCAAAACATCTCCCTCCCACTCCTGATTTTCACTCAGTTGCCATTTCCAGAGAAAACCAGTGTCATTTCTTATTGTCACTTAAGAGTTATAATATGGGTTTTGTTTTGTTTTGTTGGGGGATAATTTTCAAAACTCAAAGTATGTTAAAATTGAGTTTTTAATGAATGTCTTTGAAATAGTTGAGACATCAAAGAACAGAATTAACATGGTAAGAATTTTAGAAGTGTAAATTTTAAAAGTATAAACTATGATATATAGAAGTGGCAGAAATCAACATAGAAGACCTTTCTGCCTGTGCAGAAAGTCTGTACCATTAGTTACTATTGTGGCTAGATCTGATTAGGAACTAAGTAGTCTTTGCTGTTGATGATTGTCAGTTACCCAATTGAAGTACTTTTCTATTTATATATAAATATGTATAATTCTGCTATTTTCAGAAAGTATTAGTTATAAGATATCTAACACGTATGTTTTAAGGAATCCTGTTTACATCTTGGGTAGTAATGTATGTTTTACTTTGACAAGTTAGTTATGGATTTTTGGTTGATATCTAGGGGGAATGTACCCCTATACTGACCACCAGAGAAGAGTGTTCATCTTAGATATATTTACCTTTTTGTTGGCCTGACATTTCCCTGCTAAGGAACCTCTTTTGTCTTGGAGAAGGAAAAAGATTGGGCTTAGTATATTATAGGGCAATTTTCAAGCACTGTTTTACCACTAGCCTTGTTTTGTTTTCTAAAGTGTAATTTCTATGTTAGTGATAGGGATCCTTTTAAGTTTAGATTGGGGTGTAAATATTTCATCTCAGGCTGTCTGCCCAGGAACACTCATAATTTATGGCAGTCTGTCATTGTGCTGCCCATTATGGTAGCATCTAGGCACATGTGGCTTTTAAAATGAAAATTAATTAATTTCAGCTGCTCAATAGTTACATGTGGTTAGTGGCTACTGTATTGGACAGCAAAGATAGAATATCTCCATCATTGTTGAAACGTCTGTTATATGTCTTGGCTATAGTATATGTAATTAAAGTTTGGTAGCCTGGGTAGCTTAAAATTACCCTCACCCCCAAATCACTTCCTAATGTGCAAGGTTTTGTGGTTTTACAAAAACTCAGTAATCAGTTTCAAATTACCCAGTAGTATATTAACTATGTTTCTTCTGATATTTCTTTAAAGGCATTTCTTTTGTTATTTCTTGGTGACTATATTTCTGTTGATTTTACTTTTCTCATTAGCACATATATGTATGAAAACTATGCTTTGTTCCATTTGTCTCATGAAGGACAAAAAATGTTTGTGGTCCCTTGTGTTTCAGGAAGCGAGAGGCTACTATGAGCAGACTGGGGTTGGTCCACTGCCTATTGTTCTGTTCAATGGAATGCCCTTTGAAAAGGAACAGTTAGATCCTGATGAGTTGGAAACCATCACAATGCATAAAATCCTAGAGACCACAACCTTCTTCCAAAGAGCAGTGTACTTGGTGAGTGGTATTTCAAGGGTGATTTTGAAAGAGAATGGTTTGTTTATATTTTTGTAGGCTCTGTAGTAAGCAATAAGATTCTTTAAGTATTACTCTTTTTTATACATCACTTGTAATTGGTTTGTGGATTCCCAGGAAGTTGTGCTATAATGAAAATATTCACAAGACTTTGTGCATTGTATTTGAAATAGCTAAGTTTATTGTTGTCAAGGTTAAATGTTTATTTAAGAGACATTTGTTCTACTTGTAAGGAATTTTGACTTTGGAAAGACTCAAATACATATATATAATCATATAATTTATATATATGTATAAAATAGTTATTGTTGAGACATTATTCACATGCCATAAAATTCAGTCTTTTAAAGTGGACAATTCAATGTATTTAATGTATACACAGAGTTTATACAAGTATAACCTCTGACTGATGTTAGAACATTATCATCACCCCTAAAATCCAATGCCCTGTAGCATTCACTCTACATTTGTTTCTACCCTAGACCCTGGCAACTACAAATCTGTTTTCTTTCTCTATGGATTTGCATATTTGAGACACTGGTCTCTTTACTGCCTCCATTGTTTTGCCCTTTCCAGACTCATGATATATATATTATTTATTTGACAGAGAGAGACACAACGAGAGAGGGAACACAAGCAGGGGGAGTGGGAGAGGGAGAAGCAGGCTTCCCATGGAGCAGGGAGCCTGATGCGGGGCTTGATCCCAAGACCCTGGGATCATGACCTGAGCTGAAGGCAGACACTTAATGACTGAGCCACCCAGGCGCCCCTGGTTGTTTCATGGGGTACAGATCTGTGATTTATCAGTCTTATATAATACCCAGTGCTCATTACAACACATAACCTCCCAATGTCTATCACCCAGTTACTCCCTCCCCACACCTCCCTCCCCTCCAGCAACCCTCCATTTGTTTCCTGTGATTAAGAGTCTCTTATGGTTTGTCTCCCTCTCTGGTTTCATCTTGTTTCATTTTTTCCTCTCTTCCCCTATGATCCTCTGTCCGTTTCTTAAATTCCACATATCAGTGAGATCATGTGGTAATTGTCTTTCTCTGATTGACTTATTTTGCTTAGCATAATACCCTCTAATTCCATCCACATTGTTGCAAATGGCAAGATTTCATTTTTTTGATGGCTGCATAATATTCCAGTGTGTGTGTGTGTGTGTGTGTGTGTGTGTGTGCGCGCGCGCGCCACTTTTATCCGTTGTGGTTTTTATTTGCGTTTCCTTAAGGACTGGTGGGACTGAGCATCTTCATCTTTTCATGTACTTATTGGCCATTTGTTTATCTTCTTTGGAGAAATGTCTATTCAAGTCCTTTACTCCTTTTTGAATTAGGCTCTTTTGTTGTTGAAGTGTAGAGTTCCTTTGTATTTTGGGAATTTATCCCTTATCAGACATGATTTGCAAATATTTTCTTCTGTTGGTTGTCTTTTTGCTTTTTTTGATAGTGTCCTTTGATGCACAGAAGTTTTGAATTTTGATGAAGTCCAACTTACCTGTTTTTTGTTGTTGTTGTTGTTGTTGTTGACTGTGATTTTGGTACCATATCTGAGAAATCATTGTCAAATCCAATGTCATGAAGATTTTCCTCAATGTTTTCTTCCAAGAATTTTATAGTTGTAGCTCTTATATTTATGTCTTTGATCTATTTTGAGTTTTATGTGTGGTGTGAGTATGTAAGGGTCCTACTTCATTCTTTTGCATGTGGATATCCAGTTTTCCCAGCACCATTTGTTGAAAAGACCAAGAAAAATATTTTTAAAAACTACTTACCATGCTGATTGTTAATGCATTTATAAAAAAAAACAAACCAAAAACCCCCCAAAAACAAAAAATCCCACCAACCCAAAAAACAAAACCCCAAAACAAAAAAAGTGTTGGCTAAATTCTATTGTATGCTCCCTCATGAATAAGGTAGTTTTGTTAAGGAGTTTGTTCTTCATGCAGCTACTGGAATAAAATGTGAAAACAGTTTTTATTTGAATGAGTGTGGCTTATCTTCCAAAGTTAGGAGTAGTCTAGAAGAAATGATAATTATTTTCTTTGTTCAAGTGATATTAATGAAAAGATAAAAGATAATTCAAACATTTTGGTTTTCTAGCATCCATTTAAAGCATTTCTTTTTCAACATTGTTGGATGTAAAAATCCAGGAGTTTTTGTTTTTCAGGTATCTGTTGTGTAAAAGAATGATCATTTTCAAATAGTCCCCCTTTGAATGCTAGTTTTCCTCTGTTTCTACTTACATTGCCAGTGAGAAGTTTGGTTTGGTTTAGCTAAAGAAAATTTTATTTGAAATATTATGACAAAAGTCATATGTGCTCCTATACATATTTAGAAAATACTAAATTAGGAGAATATTAAAGTGTCTAGAGTAAAAATGAGAGTTCTTCCTTTCATCAGAATCCCTAGAGAAATAGCCCTTTGTGCCCCCGTGTATATAGAAATAGATATTTACATATGTATTTTTTAGCTTACCTTTCTAAATGAATATATCTTTGCTTTGTGTTTCTGAGCATATAACTCTTTGTCAGTACTTTTGGATTGCTGCATAGTTTTTTTTTTTTCTAAGAATGAACAATAATTTTGGACATTGCTTGTAGAATTTCACTGTTATAAATAGTGCTGTAATGAATAGTCTTACATGTATATCTCTGTAACTTATTTATTTTTTTTTTTGAGAAATACCAGTTATTGGAATTGGTCACAGGGTAATGTACATTTAAAATTTTGAACTAGAGTCACTATAAAAAGGTATGATATGCAGATGGTGTGAAATTCAAATGTGTTTAGAGGTATAAATGAAGAGAAACTTTCACCCATTCACTCCTGTTCCCCTGCCAGTCATCTTCTCTTTCTAGAAACAACCATTGTGTGTGTGTGTGTGTGTGTGTGTGTGTGTGTAGATGGGCTGCATTAAAAGGTATGTACATTTAAAATTTTGATAGATGTTGCCAAATTGCCCTCCCTGAGCTAGTTAGGCTTCTAAGTGGAATCAATTCAGATTTATCATAGAGACCAAAGTTGTATACATGGGTGTACATCTATACTAAGTCATCTAGTAACTTTGTAGTCTTTTGAGTTGTATGGTTGGTTCATATGCTCATTATTAGTTTATAGTTTGAGAATTTGCATACAAGTTCTCTGTCTCTCAGGATAAGTAGCCATAGAAGATGCCTAATTGGAGTTTTTTAGACTTTACTGTGTATATTTGATTTACATCTATCTCTCCCTTGAAAATTGCTTTAAAATATGGTTTTATATGAAATATTTTGAGTGTGAAGAACTTGCAAGTTTCTATAGCCATTTACGCATGGCTTTGAGATCACCTTAATGAAGTACAAGTATTTCTATATATCTGAGAGGTATGAAAGGGAAGAAAAAATGAGAAATGATTTCTCCTCCCTGAAATATAATTGTGACTCTGGAAATGTAGCATTACTTTGATGCCTGAGATTGAAAAAAGCTTGGGGTGATTTTTGTTTTTTAAGATTTATTTATTTGAAAGAGAGAGTGTATGGGAGGGGAGAGGAGCAGAGGGAGAGAGAGTCTTAAGCAGACTCTGTGCTGAGCATGGAGCCTGACACGGGGCTCGATCTAACCACCCTGAGATCATGATCTGAGCCAAAACCAAGAGTCAGGAGCTCAACCAGCTGTGCCACCCAGATGCTCCTTGGAGTGATTTTTATTATAAAATACATTAAGTGCTTGAGAGAAGGCATTTGGCTTTTTCCTTTAGAGAGAGGCTAACTATGAGCAGCTCTCAGGATGGATTTTTGGTTATGGTAACTTTTACCTAATTTGTAGAGCTTGCTTATTTCTGGGGAAGCACAGTAGTGTGTGGAGAGACCACATAAACTTGGCTTTGCATTTCATACTTGAATCTCCTTAGCTCTGTAACTTTGAGTAAGTTATTCTGTACCTCAGCTTCCATCTTTAAAACGAATCATCAATAACATCTGTCTCACGTTGTTGAAAGAGTTAAAGATAATATACATACATAACCTGTCAAGCTGTGCTTGGCAATGATAGGAACCTGTAACGTGGAAACTTCTGTTTTTAAGTGTTATCAATACATAAGAAGCTATTGATTGTAAAGTTAATGACTTTTTACTTTCTAATAAATTATTATTGCTCTAATTTGTTTAACTCTTATCCTGCCCCCACTCTGTTAATTTTTTTTCTTGTAGGGTGAATTGTCCCATGATCAGGATGTGGTAGAGTATATCATGAATCAGCCAAATGTTGTTCCACGAATCAATTCTAGGATTTTGACATCTGAGCGAGAATACCTGGATTTAACAGCAACCAGTAAGAAGCATTTCAGGAACATTTTGGGCTTTTTTTCATTTGTGTTTCAGAATCTTTGCATCTATTGGATTGCAGTGTTTAGAAGATAACCCAAGATTCTGACACAATCTTGTTTTAATTCATTGCACCTTTAGTTCATAACATGAGTCTGTAAATTCACAAGAGTTTTCTCCAAAAAGAGAGAAATTCTTCGTGTATAAATCCTTGTAAACTTAGAAAAATATCCATTGTCTTTTTTTTTTTTAGAGAGGGAGGTGCGGAAGGAGAAAATCTTTTTTTTTTTTTTTTTAAGATTTATTTTTATTTATTTGACAGAGAGAGATAGTAAGAGCAGGAACACAAGCAGGGGGAGTGGGAGAGGGAGAAGCAGGCTTCCCGTGGAGCAGGGAGCCCAATGCAGGGGCCCAATCCCAGGACCCTGGGATCATGAGCCGAAGGCAGACGCTTAATGACTGAGCCACCCAGGGGCCCTGGAGAGAGAGAATCTTAGGCAGGCTCCACACCTGGTGCAGAACCTCCCAAAACCCTGAGATAATGACCTGAGCCAAAATCAAGAGTAGGACACTTAACTGACTGAACCACCCAGGCACCCCTCCATTGTCTTTTAAATGCCAGCTTTTTAGGCCTTAGGTGATGAGACTACATCTGTATTGTTGACTTTCTTACAGTCATAAAGCTGTTAAGCAACTGTCTTTTCTTCATCCTTGTTCTGGAATCAGCTAGCAGTGATGTGGACAAACACCCCGGGTGGTTTTACTCTGAGAGGCTAGGAATGCCTATCTAAAAATAAACCTTCATTGAGATAAAGTGTACATGCCATAAAACTCAGTCTTTCGCAATCTTATCTACAATTTTTAGTGTATTCTCAAAGTTGTCTAATCATCACTGTTTAATTGTAGAACATATATCATTCCCCCAAAAAGAAACCATGTACCCATTGGTAGCCACTCTCCATTTCCCCTTTTCCTATCCCCTCCACAACTGCTGATCTAGTTTCTGTTTCTAAGGGAGTTTTCTACTGGGTATTTCATATAATTAGGAGCTTTCTGTGACTGGCTTCTTGTTCACTTAGCATAATGTTTTTAAGTTTTATCCATGTTGTAGCATGTCTCAGTACTTTTTTGCCTTTTTATGGCTTATTAGTATTTTCTTGTATGGATAGTCCACACAGTCCACACTTGGCTTACCTAATCTTCAGTTGATGGGTGTTTACGTTGTTTTCACAAGAATACCTTTTCAGGGATAGTTTTGTGAAGCCCAGATGCCAATTTGTTCCTTATGCCTTTCCTTGCTGCTCTGAAGGCCATTTCAGCAAACAGCTGGAAATAAGGTGGAGCTGTGGTCACTTTGCAGAAGTCTCATTGGGCGAGAAAAGATAGGTGTAACAGAGAAGTACAAGCCACGGGCATTTGCTGTTGTGGTCGGGTGTGATGCACACAGAGCTCTAGGTGTGGTTGTTAGTTTATGGCACCTGTCTCTAATCTACTTGAAGCCGAATTCCCTTTCTTTTAGATAGAGGAAGATGTACATCTCTGCTTATATTTGAAAAAGGAAGTAGTCAGAAAGTGACATAAACTCTTTCTTCATAGTTAGGTTTTAGCTTTTTACCAGAAGTTTTAATAGAGCAAGTCAAGCAGTATTGGGAGTTTTTGTCCTAAATTTTTGTTGTTTCCATCATTTTACTTTATTTTATTTTATTCAGATTTTCTTTATTTATTTGACAGAGAGAGAGCACAAGCAGGCAGAGCAGGAGGGAGAGGGAGAAGCAGGCTCCCCACTGAGCAGGGAGCCCGACGTGAAGGCTTTAAGACTTTGGTGCTTTCTCCCCTCCCCTACATGATGTCATGAGCTGTGTCTGTCTTACTTACCATTTCTTTCCTTTTACTGGAATATTGACTTAAAGGATAGTAGGTCCTTGGTAAGGTCTGTTGAGTGAAAGGGTAGATGGGTGAGTGGGTGGACAGACATAGAGGGAGGGGTAGGTGAGCCACCTATGCTTGGAGGATGGTGAGAGAAGAGTGGCATTTGTGTTAGAGTGCAAGAATGCATAAGATTGGGGAGATTCTTGGAGATAGAGGGTTTCTGATACAGGATGGAGACCATTTTGTAGGTAGGAAGAAATTACTGGGTAGTTTAGATCAAAGGAATGACTACATGAAACTGGGATTTTAACAAAAGTAACTCGAGGGGAAATGAATGGTAAGAGCATTGTCTGAGGGCAATAATTGTTCAATAAACCTGAAACAATAGATTTCACTCATGTATTTTTATAAATCTTGTATTATGGACAAATCAGATTATCAGTTGAATATTAACATTAGATTGAATTTAAGCACGTTAATTATAAATCTGTTTCAACTTTCTCTCCCAGATAACTTTTTTGTGGATGACTATGCTAGATTTACTGTTCTCGATTCCCAAGGCAAGACTGCTGCTATAGCCAATAGTATGAACTATCTGACCAAGAAAGGTAATCCATTTTAGGCTTATCTTGGATTCAACATTTTTTTTTTTTTTTTTTAGTATTTGTAGAAATAATTAAATCTTCAGTGTCTGCTAGAAAGAGATTTCCTCATTTCTTTTTTTTTTTTTTTTTTAGTATTTGTAGAAATAATTAAATCTTCAGTGTCTGCTAGAAAGAGATTTCCTCATTTCTTTTATTAATTATTTTTTGTATTTGTAGAAATAATTCAATCTTCAGTGTCTACTAGAAAGAGATTTCATCATTTCTTTTTTTAATTATTTCTTATAATGATTTGAACCCAGAAAATACCTGTTTAAAATTCAATTCTTTATGAAGTGGAGTTTTTGAAACTCCAAAAAGTGGAGTTTTTGAAAATTCAAATGTTGTTTTCTTATATTAGATATTATTTATTAGCTATTAAGGTGAAATGAAATATTTTTTCATGATTCAAATGTGGGAACATTTATGATGTAAACATGGGTTAATGGATTGAAAATTGGTTTGACTTGCCTCTTCAGTGACAACACTGAGTTAAATTTTTTAGGGTTCATAAGATTAACTTGGTTCTAGGAATCCTTGTGCACATTTTAAAACTGATTTTTAATATGGAGTCAGTTATTTAGGCTAAAATTGTGTGAAATGATATTTTAAGGGCAGACAGATCCTTTCCCCCTCTGGCCATACTTACTATCCTTTCAAAGCACTGACTGTCATTTAAGGCAGCTATTTTTATCCATGCTGTAGCCTTGTCCTAGGGAGAATTTCTGGCTTCCCAGATCTATGTAAATAAAAGCAATTGCTCCATTTGGTTCCTCAAAGAAATTAGTTCCAAGGGGCCCTGGAACAGTGCTATACAGCTAAGGGGACTACAGAGCAGAGAGAAGATTGATCATATTAGGCATTATTTAAAATTTTGACTCTTAAGGTAGGCATCCATTATAGCAATGACATTTTCTTCTACCTTTTCCTTTACCTCTGTCTAGGAATGTCCTCCAAGGAAATCTATGGTAATTTTAAACTTCAGAATGTTCGGGTTCTTTTCTTAATTATCTTATGTGGTTCCAGGCAATGTTGTGATTCAGAATTTATTGACACTTTATTGTGACATTTCTGGAACCTGTGGGTAACAGTAGATAATTTGTCAAATGCAGATAAAATTTGTATAAATTGTATAAATGTGAAGAATTCTATTTCAGAAAGTTACAAATTAATATGATTAAAGACTGTGATATGTTACCCACATGTTCAAAGGCTCTTTTTCATTGTATATGCTAACAGTTGCCTGAGCCATAGTAGAATTAATAAATGCATGTTCCTAGTTTGTAATTAAGCCACATGGAAGGTTACTCTGCTTTCATTCTAGTATAGAAGTTTCACTACTTTTGCTTTGTATCTTTATTAAACTTGTCATTTTCTTATTTTTTGCATGGTTTTCAGAAATTATTTGGCTTAGTAACAATATTGAAACATAGAATGTGCTTTCTTCCCTCTGACTCAGTGTGTTGTTTTTGTTTTTCTACAGATGATTCTTTCATTAGGCCTGTAACTTTTTGGATTGTTGGGGATTTTGATAACCCTTCTGGAAGACAGTTACTGTATGATGCTATTAAACATCAGGCAAGTATCTGCACCTCCATTCTGTGTGCTGATGTTACTGTTCTGGGTGGGAAGCGGGAGTCCTGCTTTTTTAGTACTTGAGGGAAAGGACCATTGTTTCTTCGAAGGTCTGCCCACTAGTGAGAAAAGAGGGAAGACTGCAGTGTTCTGATTTTATTTAAGAGTATAGATTCTTATAGAGAAAAAAAATGAGATCCTTATCATAGACAAGTTTTTATTGTGTGACTGTTCATGTTTTGCTGCAGAGATACTGTGAAGATCATGCTGTATATTATATGGGGGAGGCAGGGCCTTTTCATTGAAGGAGGTCTAGATGTGGGGGAAATACCATGCAGACACCTTAGTCCTCATATAATAGAAGCAGATCTAGGCACACAGAGGGATGCACATATAGATGGTCTGAAATACACATAGCACATAAATTGTAGAACTTGAGTGAATGGCAGTGGTGAATGGTTGGGAAGAAATGGACTCCTCTAGAGAGTGTTATTGTCAGAGAATGAGCTGTTACAATTCCTTTTCCTGAGCAGTTTCAGATTGAGTCTTCATCCACATTTCATACCCTTCCCATGTCCCCTTGCCACCCTGTGTCCTGAGGAGGCTTATTGAAGTACTAAAATATCAAGGTGATTTCAACTTCACTAACATGCTAAGTGCCTTTAATTGTCTAAAGGAGTAGACCAGATGGTGTAGTCAATTCAAAGTTAAATCAGGATGAAGGAAAGTAGATACATAGATAAGATTCTAACTCAAATTTATAAATGCTTGAGTGGTGGTAGAGTGGGAGAACAAGAAGGGAGAATTGAAAAATTTTTTTCTCAATTTATTTTAGAGGGAGGGGCAGGGAGAGGTTGAGAGAATCTCAAGCAGACTCCATGCTGAGAGCGGAGCCCTATGCGTGGCTTGATTTCACAAGCCTGAGATCATGACCTGAGCTGAAACCAAGAGTCAGATGCTTAACCTACTGCACTACCCAAGTGCCCTGAGAATTTAAAAAAAAGAAAAAAGAAGTAAAATATAGAATCAAAAGAAGTGCACAAATCATAGGATACATGGTGTCACAAAGGGAACACCCAGGTGACCACACCCAGGTCAAGAAATACAGAATTATCAAATTCCGGAAAGCCCTCTCCTGCTTGTGTCTCCATCACCCCCCTTCACATATTTATGTTTGCCTTCTTTACTCAACATTTTTGAGATTTATCCATGATATTACAAGTAGCAGTAGTTAGTTCTTTTTCATTGTGCTGTATTGTATTGTATGGCTGTACCACAAAATTATAAAACTTTGTTTAATCTTTTTGATGGACTGTGGCGTTTTTTTCTAGTTAGGGGCTATTCTGAAGGATGCTGCTATCACTATTCTTGTATGCATCCTTTGATACACATTAGTATGAATTTTTGTTGCTTATGTTCATGACACAAGGTTTTATGGGTCCCAGATAACTTTTCCAACATGGATTCTTATCTTTTTACTCAGGGAGAGATTAATTTTTTTTAAAGAATTTATTTATTTATTTATTTATGAGAGAGAGAGAGAGCGTGCACAAGCAGGGGGAGCAGCAGGCAGAGAGAAGCAGGCTCCCTGCTGAGCAAGGAGCCCGATGTGGGACTTGATCCCAGGACCCTGGGATCATGACCTGAGCCAAAGGCAGATGCTTAACTGACTGAGCCACCCAGGCGTCCCAGGGAGAGATTAATTTTTTGCAAGGCATCTGGAAAGGCCATGTGAACAAAGAAGTATTTGAATAGAAGCCTGAAGATTGGTTGGGACTGAGGGGAGGAAAGATGGGATGGACTTGGGGTTTTGTATGCCAACATGAAGCATGGAGTGTGTTAGAATAATACAAAATGTGTTGGGAAATACAGGACTCTGATGGTCTGTAAAGGAGCTATATATACAGGGATGGTAAGAAATGAAGTTGGAAAGGTAGACTGGGGACCAGTTTATGTAGGGGTTTGAAAGCCTGGCTATAGCATTTTAATTTTATTCTGTATACAGAAGAGGACTGAAGACCTTGAAGAGAGGTTGTATTTGCTACTTAATGGAATATGATGATGTTAATGCCACTTTTTAAGTTCAAAACATCTACCATATAACTCTTATTTCCCATTTTGTAAATAGAAATCCAGTAACAATGTTAGAATAAGCATGATCAATAATCCTAGTGAAGATATAAGTTATAAGAACACTCAGATCTCCAGAGCAATCTGGGCAGCTCTCCAAACACAGACCTCCAACTCTGCTAAGAATTTCATCACAAAAATGGCCAAGGAGGAGACCGCAGAGGCCCTGGCTGCAGGAGCTGACATTGGGGGGTTCTCTGTCGGGGTAAGTCTCAGTGTGTTGCATGGGGTTACTTTCCACAGAAGTTCATTCCCATGGTCTGATGTGTCTTGTTCATGATTGGGATTTGTGATTTTAGTACTGAGTTTCAGAGGATTTTCTTAGTTTGGAAGAATCTTTCTAAGATATAACAATTCTGCCACATTCCCCTTACCACTTTTAATACCTTTAAAGTTTTAAGATATGACTCATATAAATTCATGTTTTAAGCACAAAGCCATTTGTTTTGTATAGTTTTTAAAAGACAGGCAATATTTGATTTGTTATAGAGCAAAAAACTGTGAAGTTTCTTATGAGTTAGAGGCTTATGTGTTCTTAATGTGTTCTGATATAAGCCCCCACATGTATTCATTATATAAGTTACTACCTTTTGGACTATTTTGTAGATTTAAAATTCTTATAAAATGATGAGTATACTTGATATTTCCGTTAGAAAAAAGGCCCTTGAAATTAGCAAGATTTTAAAATGCAGAATAAAGGTATAATGAAGAATAATTTGCCAATGGTGCAACCACATAAAAGAATAGGAGCAGGAAATAAGCATTACTTGATAAGTGGGAGGGTGGGAGAAAATGGGAGGAGTGGAGAATTAAGACATCATAATGTTAATTCTTAAAATTAGCTCTGACTTTCCATTAAAAGAGCATTTTATGATTTATTCATTATGATTATTCATTTTTATGGCTTGCTTAATAACAATTACTTTTCCTTAATAACAATTACTTTCCTAGGGCATGGATTTCAGTCTTTTTAAAGAGGTCTTTGAGTCTTCCAAAATGGATTTCATTTTGTCTCATGCCATGTACTGCAGGGATGTTCTGAAGCTGAAGAAGGGACAGAGGGCAGTGATCAGCAATGGAAGGGTGAGGATTTTGTCCTGAGACAAACTTGACCTCAAATTAGATCAGTGAACAGGGTTGGCAGTGTTGTCCAAAGCTAGTAAACTCTTCAAACAGAGCCACTCTTTCCAAAGGGGATTGGGGCTTATGCAGTGCTGATGATAATTTCTGCACCCTTATTTCAAAGGAGGTTTGCTTTTCACAAGCATCCTTGTGTAAAACCTTCCTGCTGTATAGTTATGTCCTGCCACATGTACGGTGGCAGTGAGAGTGTGATGTCTTTCAGAGAATAAGTTGATAAGGCTTTGATACACGAAGTATTCATCCCCTGTGGGGACTGTGTTCATAGTTGTGTAGTCTCTGTCAACTTCATTGGCGCAGGGTTAGACCATTTCATACATATATGCAGCCAGGGACATGAGACTGAGGGGGATATACCAAACTTTAATCTCTTAGCACTGGGGGTGAAATCTCTGCTGTCTGTCATTCACTACACTGCATCTCTGGTTTGGCTCTGTTTTTTTTATATTCAGCGAGAATTAATGAAACTATGTGACTATTTTGTTTTACTTCAGAGTTGCTTACTATAAAAATATTGTGAAGTATACAGGTCTACCCTCTGTAGTTGAGGAATTGATAAGTAAATACATAATTGGATGAGTTGATTTGGATTCTGTTTTTACCTTTTTCATTGATATTCAGTGTATACATGTCTTGGGTCTTTAAAGTGATTAGGTTTGTAAGATAGCCTGAGGACAGCAGAGGGCTTCTTTCCAGCTGTGATTCTAGCACTGACCATCCTGTTCTTCTTCACAGATCATTGGGCCACTGGAGGACAGTGAACTCTTTAATCAGGACGATTTCCACCTCCTAGAAAATATCATCTTAAAAACTTCAGGGCAGAAAATCAAATCCCATATTCAACAGCTTCGGGTAGAAGAAGATGTGTAAGTTTTCCCATGGAAGAAATTAATTAGTGCATGTCATAGGTACTGTGTTAGTTGAACTTTCCTCATGCTACCTATTTCATGGTGTTTTATTTCCAGTTTGAACATATGATAATGCTTTTCAGTTCAGGTGTTTATTTTTGCTTCTGTTGAAACAAGTTAATTTATTTAAAGAACTGAATTAGGTCTTTCCATTTTATTTTTTTGGTTGTGGAAAATTTCAAACATATGCAAAAATAGAGGGGTGAGTTTTTGTTTTTGTTTTTGTTATCTTGGGATACTCTTGTAAAGAGGTACTTTCCCTTGGGCGCCTGGGTGGCTCAGTTGTTAAGCGTCCGCCTTCGGCTCAGGTCATGATCCCAGGGTCCTGGGATCTAGCCCCGCATCGGGCTCTCTGCTCAGCAGGTAGCCTGCTTCTCCCTCTCCCACTCCCCCTGCTTGTGTTCCCTCTCTCGCTGTGGGTTTCTGTTTGTCAAATAAATAAATAAAATCTTAAAAAAAAAAAAAAGAGATACTTTCCCTTACCTGTTTTATTTTGTCCATGAAAGGAAAGTCAGGTTAAATGCTTCTTTTCCTTAATTTACTAGTATAGAATAATGAGTTGTTTCTCTTGCAACCTCCAAAGGTGATGATTTGGTTATTGTTGGTTTTTAATTTTTATTTTAATTCTTTCAGTGTTATTATTAGCTAATGTATTTTTTTTTTTTAAAGATTTTATTTATTTATTTGAGAGAGAGAGAATGAGAGAGAGCAAGCACATGAGAGGGGGGAGGGTCAGAGGGAGAAGCAGACTCCCTGCCGAGCAGGGAGCCCAATGCGGGACTCGATCCAGGGACTCCAGGATCATGACCTGAGCCGAAGGCAGTCGCTTAACCAACTGAGCCACCCAGGCGCCCGCTAATGTATTTTTTTTTCAAGATTTTATTCATTTATTTGACAGAGAGAGACCGAGCGCACAAGCAGCGGGAGCAGCAGAGGGAGAGGGAGAAGCAGGCTCTCCACTGAGCAGGGAGCCTGATGTGGGGCTCAGTCCCAGGACCCTGGGATCATGACCTGAGCTGAAGGCAGACGCTTAACTGACTGAGCCACCCAGGCACCCCTAACTAATGTATTTTAATGAGTTATTTCCCAGTGGAAGAAAATGAATTATTTAATTGGTCCATGTACCTGCTATATAACTAGAGCCCATAAGTCATATACACATGGTTTTATATCAAATGAATATAGTTGAAAGGTGTATTTTTATGTTTAATTTTTTGAGGAACCATCATATGTTTTTCCACAGAGATCATACCATTTTATTTCCCATCGGTAATGCATAAGGGTTCTAATTTCGCCACATCTTTTTCAGTACTTGTTATTTTCTGGTGGTGGTTTTTTCTTTGTTTTTATTTTTTATTTTTTGTTTGTTTTTTTTTTGGTAATAACCCACCCTAATGGGTGTGAAGTTGTATTTCTTTGTGGTTTGATTTGCACTTCCCTAATGATTAGTGATGTTGACAGCTCTTTACGTGCTAATTAGTCATCTGTATATCTTTGGGAAAATATCTTCCCAGTGCTTTGCACATTTTTTTTTTTTTTTAAGTAATCACTTCACCCAGAGTGGGGCTGGAACTCACAACCCCGAGATCAAGAGTCGCACGCTCCACCGACTGAGCCAGCCAGGTGCCCCTACTTTGCACATTTTTAATTGTTTTTTTATTATTGAGCTATAGGAGTTCCATGTAAATATGTAAATACTCTGGGTATCAATCTCTTATAGATAGATGATATGCAAATATTTTCTTTCATTCCATGGGTTGCATTTTCATTCTTTTGATAGTGTTCTTTGGTGAATAAGTTGGAAGATATAAAATTTCAAAGTTCTTATGGTTTTTCTCTTCATCTCTTTCATATACCCTCATGCTGCAGAGTTTAAGATGCATGTCTTAGTGATGTATTGACCTTGATAGCTGCCAGAGTAGTTCCTTTGCCAAGTCTTGTGTGATAGGGGAAGGAATCTTTTTTCATCTCAACCAATAACGAGGCTACAGATAAAGAGGTTTCCTCCTACCTCAGTGGCTTTTAGTGATGCCCTTTGCTCTGGCCTATGAAACACTTCCCTGATGCAGGTCAGGAGGTGTTGCCATGACTTGAAGCCATCATATCATTGGCATAGGCTTGGTGTGGTGTGCCCTTAGACCACCCCCCGCTTTGTGGAGTCTTTGTGGATTATATAATTGCCAGTTTTTCTCTTGCCATTTGGTATAAAGTTCATATGTTCTTCAAACCATCTTGTTGGCATTCAGTACTTGGGCTGATTATATTATGTTCAGCAATAATTGGAAAAACCTTCAGTTAAAGATGCTAAATTTTCACCAACCATGTCTTTCAGGGCAAGTGACTTGGTAATGAAGGTGGATGCTCTCCTGTCAGCTCAACCAAAAGGAGATGCAAGAATCGAGTACCAGTTTTTTGAAGACAGACATAGGTACAGAATTAGTACTGAATTTATGCATATTCTTGAATAAAATCTTAAGGTTGCCTTTACCTCATATGAAGTGTGTACATAAGTTCTTATTGGAATGGAAAATTTGTCCAGTGTACAGTTTTCATATATACTCATTTTCATATGCCGAATTCATATACAGATCTCAGTTGCATAAAAGTTGACATTTATTTCTAAATAAATCTGAAATAGTTCTGACTGTACCCTTTTAGAAAACAGAAAGCATTTAATGAAACAGTTGTAGTTTTCTCATACTCAAAAATAAACAGGTTGTTAGAGCACTTGTATTGTTCATCTTTTATTGAAAACGGTTTTGTTTTCAATAAAATAAAAATAAGTTTAGCATTATGAAAAAGTCCTTGCCTTTTGGTTTTGAGTTTTTTATTTCAAAAGTTTCAAAGCTAAAGAATAGTTGAAAGATTATTACAATGAACACCCAGATATCTTTAACCTGGCTTCACCAGTTGTTAACATTATGCCACATTTATCTGTCGTCTGTGTGTGGGTTTGTGCATTATGTATGTATAGTACATGTAATGTATATTTATGTTTGTGTACAAACTTATATGTACTTACATTTTTTCTGAACTATTTGAAGGTCCATTGCAGACATCATTACACATCATGCCTGAATTCCTCAGCATGAATCTCCTGAGCACTAGGAGTGTCTCCACTGTTGGCATACCTCAGAGATTTAACCTTGATACAGTGACATTTAGTAGTACACAGTCCATATTCACATTTCTCCAAGGCCCCAGTAATGACCTTTGAAAACTGTTGTGTTCTTTGATTTAGTCCAGATCACATGTTGCAGTTCTTTGTTGTGTGTCTTTTTTAGTCTCCTTAAATCTAGAACAGTTCCTTGTGTTTTTTGTTCTTTGGGGGTTTTTTTGGTCTTTTATGACTGACTTTTTAAAGAGTCCAGACCATTTATCTTGTAGAATGTCCCATAGTCTGGGTCGTTTCCTCATGATTAGACTTAAGATTAAGTTGTCTTTAGGAAGAATCCCTACAGTTGATGTATGTAGCCAGGCAAGGTTATATATCTTGATTGTGCCTTAGAGGCTTTAGATATTGAAGCCTGCATCCTGCTCCGTTATGATTTTGATTTAATTAGTCTGGGGTAGATTGGACTTTGGTTTCATTGATCCATGCTTTCTTACAGCCAGTTCTTGTGGGGATCAAATTTGACCAGACTGTTTGATGATCCAAGCTAGAATGGAGACTCTCTCCTTTCTCACTGGCTGTGTGTCCTAACTTCTTACATCGCCAGTGGGTGAAGACTTCTGTGGCTCTTTGCTAATCCTAGTTGGATTTTGCCCATTAGCACCCATTTTCTCATCACTGTATACTTTCAGGAAGTAACCCAACTAGTTATTACCACAGGAAACATATTTCCCAATTGGCTTGCTATCCTGTTTGCCTTTCATGGCCAAGATAGTGAGTCCTGAGCCAGAATCTCTTCCCTTTTTAGAATATCATTTTCTCCATGAGTCTTATATAATTAAAATGCTCTAATTACAAATTCTGTTGTGAGACAAATTATAATTAGAGAAATTCTTATTGGGGTTGTGTTAGTTAAATGAGCGTTATACTTAAATCAGACGTTTCTTATTTATGTGAGAAATAAAAAGGTCTGAATTATTGGTTATGTATATCCTTGCCCTAAAAGTGTGACTCACAGAACAGCAGTGGGGCATCATCTGGGAGCTTGTTGGAAATGCAGAATATCCGGCCCCAGACCAGACCTTCTGAGTCAGTATCTACGTTGTAACAGGATCCCCCCAGGTCACGCTTGTGTACCTTAAGATTGGGGAAGCACTGTATTCTTTGATGTTTGCTCTACTCACTTCATGAAAATGTGTATGACTCCCAAATCTTGTTCCTGTGTCTGTCACTTTTGGCCTTACTCTGGTCTTTTCTCTAATACAGCAAATGTTTCCACATGATTTGTTAGTTTATACTGTTGTCCATTTCCATACCACTGTTCTCTAATCTTGGCTTTTGTTTTACTTTTTTGTTATAGAGATATAGAGTGGTTAAAAGGCCAGCCAGGATCAGTTTCTGGTTATACCTTTTGCAGATCACTTAGAACACTGGGTCAGAACATTAACATGTCACACAGAACTCTGCCCAGACCTGCCAGGTTCACAGGTTTTGGCCTGGGCATGCCTGACTCAGATGCTATACTCTATAGGACTCTTTGGGACTTCTCTTCTTCTTCCCTTTGTGAGAATTTATATAATGCTATTCTCTAGTGAGCTTTTTCCTTCTGGAATTCTAGAGAAGCACAGAAGTCCAGGTTATCTGAGGGCAGTGGCTGTCATACTTCGGCTTTTACCTAGAGAATTTGTTCAAGTGCAGATTGCCTGACCCACCCCCTGAGTTTCTGATTCAGGAAGTCTGGGTTATGGCTGACAGTTTGTTTCTAACAAATTTCCAGATGAAGCTGATTCTGCTGATTTGGAGCCACACTTTGAAAACAGCTGTATTAGAGTAAAAAAAAAAAAAAAACATGTTATTTTGGAATAATTATTGACAGCTGGAATTGTTAGTTTCATCAAAAATTGAAAACCTCTGCTTTGATAACAGGCACAAAGCTATTTTGATGGTTATTTCCAAAGCACTTAAGGTTTGAAATAACCTTCATCCCCATTTAAACTATAGTTACCCAGTTTTGTTATATTTTATTTTGCACTTTTGTTTTCCCCTCACTGGATAAATGTTCTTGCACAGAACAGTAGTGGTTAGCACCAGAACTATATTAAAACATTGTTCAGAGCAAACAAAGATAGGCATTGATTTGACCAATTAAGATTTTGGAAAATTGGATATATTTTAAAATCCTTCCAAGTTTATCCCTTTTCAGAATATATCGGAGGCTCCTGCTCCTCTTAAGTCATCTAAGTCAATATGACTTCGGAGGGAGGCTGTGCAGCTGGAAACTCTGGGTGGGGAAATGTACATTCTCCTCAGAAACCGAGAGGGACAACCTGAAACCTAAACATTTAGCTGCTATTTTTAACTTACTAAGAAGACAGAATATGTATAACTTAATGTCCTTGAAAATTGACTCAGTTCTTTTGGAAATGTGATTGACAGTACATATTATCCACAAAAATATTTGTATCCAGTGACTCTGCAGTCTCATATCTAGGATTTTGTCGACTCTAAAGAAATTTCCAAGTATGAAAAAAACTATGTATGAAGTTACTTACAGGCTGCAAGCCATCTGAATGCCCAACAATAAGGAGTAGCTTAAGTAAACATGGCAGATTCACTTGGTAAATAGAAGATTATTTTTTATTCAGGATATTTGATGTGTAACAGTATGGAAAAATCATTATGATAAAGTGGTGGGGGAAGGAAGGAATTATAAAATTGCTAATATTCTTTAGGTATAGCTGCTCTTTATAGAGGCATTTGAGAAGGTCTACAGAGAAAAATGCCACAGCATGGTTGGGTTGGGATGGTGAGGTTTTACGATTATTTCCTTTTTCTCTCACAAGTTTTCTGTAATGTTCTTTGTATTATTTTTAAAAATCCATTTATTTCTTCTCTTCTCATACCCTTCTTGCCAGGAAATAAAAGTTGGCATAATGTTTGTAATTGTCAAAAACAAATATCAGCTTTTAGCAGGTTTTGGTTAAATACAATTTTAAGCTGGTTTTCATCTTTTGTTCATTTTGAGTGAACTTGAGTCATTAGCAGGTTTTGCAAACTTTGAGGTAGACATAAGTACATGATTAACCACCATGTAGCCTTGTTGTTCTAGATCCGAAGTGTTTTTGGAAATGCTGAGAGAGCTGATAGGTTATGTTGGTCTTAATAAAAAAGGTTAACTTTGTTTCCTGTTTTCCACCAGATTAACATTTTGTCTTTTTGATCTCTGTAGTGCAATTAAAATGAAGCCGAAGGAAGGGGAGACATACTTTGATGTTGTGGCTGTCATTGACCCTGTCACCAGAGAAGCACAGAGACTTGCCCCATTGCTCTTGGTAGGCATAGCCTAAGAGGCAGTTCGCATCTCTTTATCTGAAGTGGTCACAGGCCCTGTGACTCCCTGAGAGTGTCATTGTTCCCCTAGTTATCTTCAGAGGGCTTTGGAAAATGCTACAGGGCATCTTGGCAGAGCAAATGTCTTCATAAAGATTGGTAATGGCTCTGGAAACAGCCTCATAACCTTAGAAAGTTGGTACAAGTTTGGTTGGTTTCCTCATGTAATTTTTTAAAAATGTCCTATTTAGAGCAAGGTGTCTTTTAATTAAATTGATTTATGCCATATTCTGATTTATAATGAATGAGAGTTAAAAAGGTAAAATAATTTTGCTTTTTTATTTTCCTTTTCTAAAACTAGCATTTTTTCAAATTGTGGCATGTCTTGTAGATGTGTATATTACAATTTTAAGAAAATTTAAGAGCTTTGCCAAAAAGACAGTTGCTTTGACATTTTTTTCAGTTGTGTTTCTTTTTTAAGGTGAAGTTTTACTGATGTATAATCAGCTAACATTTTTATGGATGTGTGTAAATATGCATACTCTCTAGCCAAGAATAAGTTTGTGGGGTGATGAGACCTTGGCACCACTGTCCATTCAACTGCCCCTGAGCCTCTCTCCCTGGTGTGTGTGTGTGTGTGTGTGTGTGTGTGTGTGTGTGTGTAAGGAGGTGCTGGGCTACAGTGCTGATGCTGAGCAGGACTGGGGAGTAGAGAACGGGGTTCTCCCATGTCCTGGGGTGAATATGAACATTCTTTGAAATCCCATGTCCTGGAGTGAATATGAACATGTCCCTAGGCCTGAGTTGGAACTCAAGTCTAGGGACAGCTTTGTGGTCAGGGAGCCAGCCTGAGGATCCAGGAAAGGTGGAGGAAAGCCCTGAGTGTCTTTGTTTCATCTGAGGGTGGTTTGGGGTGAGTCACTGGGGGAAGCAGAGCTCAACTGAAGGTGGAAAGATGACCAAAGAATCCTACAGTCCAGCACTTATTCTTGGCACCCCTGGGAAAGGGGCTGGGTGGCCTAAGGGCGACTCTGCTGTTTGAGGGGAGGGGGCCCAAGGCCACTGACACTGAGAGCTGGGGCTCAAGGACAGGGGGCCCGGGGGTGGGCTCTCCTCTTTGTGATCACTCTACTTCAAGCCTTTATGAGTTGCCTTCTCATCAGATTTGTAGCCTTGGAGCCTACCCTGTATCTTGTACCTTCCCTCAACCAGATGTGGGTGGGTCCCTGGAGTGGGGCTGTACATCACAAGGGCTGGAGGCTTAGAGGCAGAAGCCCATTATCTCACAGAGAGACAAGTTGTCCTTTTGCCCTTTCCTCAGCTGTGGCCAGGGGTGTGTGGGCCTTGCCTGCCTCAGGGTCAGGCTGCAGTGGAGGTGGGTAGATAGATGAGGTCCTGGCCCAGGAGTGGAGGATAGCGGTGGTTAGGTCTCTTCATGGTTCTGCTTGAGGTGGATTAGCTGAAAGGTGATGAAGTTTAAGCCCTTTTCTGTCCCTGTTCTAAATAAACATTTTTGGACAACAACAACAACTGCACCGATGAACCTTTAAAATTTTCCTTGTGTAGACAACTCTCCATTATCCATCAGTTGCTTCACCATACAATGGGGAGCAGTGATTTTCAGTAGCCCACTTGCCATGTTTTTGCCAAGTGATACGTGTGTGTGATTTAGGTTGTATGCCAGAGTTGGGATTTCCAAAAATTTCTCCAGTGCAGATTTTATGGTTTTTATTATCTTTCTGTCTTTCTTGAGATATTAAGAGATGTTCTCTCAACTCCATGTCAGAGTGATGTTTCTGAAGAGAAAATGTAAATATTTTGTCTCAAGTAGCAGTCCCTTTCTCTGTAGGAAAATTTTAGGTTTTGTCTCTGGTTTGCTCTTTTAGGTTTTAACCCAGCTGATCAACATGAATCTAAGAGTGTTTATGAACTGCCAATCTAAACTTTCTGACATGCCTTTAAAAAGGTAAGACAAGCTGTTGAAGAAATCAATCGAAAACGTGGTACTAAATCTGAAAGCAGGTATTGAATGTTAAGGATCAAATGGGTTTATAGGTGGACTTCATGTTTGAAAAGATCATTTACTGAATGTTCAGTTTTGCTAAATTTCTGCTCTAATCAGAAGTTCTAAGAATTTAGTGTGGATCTGGAAGCATTTAGGTGGCATTAACTCAAGTTACTTGGGCCAGCCGGCCTGCCTGCTTGCCTGCCTGCCTTCCTGCTTCCCGCCCCCCCCCACTCCCTTCCCTCCCTCGGAATTATGTAGTTCTTTAATTTTAGAGCATTTGGATCAATATAACTGTTAAATATACCTAGTTAAAAAAATGTGCTGTGGTACAGAAAGAAACTTGTCTGTCCCGTTTTATCTTAAAAGTGGAGCAGTTATTTCAAGTTGGAGTATATTTGTCAGAGGAAGCTTGCTGAGGCTCATTTGCATGTATCTGGAGAAGGAGGGCAGGCTTAGCTGTATGTTTTCTGAACCTTGGAATGGTCATTTATGAAGAAAGTTAAATAAAAAGCAGTAGTAATAGGGTAGCATCTGCTGGGTCTGTGGGAAATTTCTTATGTAAAAATGTGCCGTGTTTTTTAAGTTAGATTCTAAGTGAATTCAAATACTGTTTGAAATGGTTCTCAGCTTCTACATTGTCCTTGAAGAGGAGAATTGTTTAAACTACTGTGTATGGTGTTTTCAGGGCTCACCTGAGAACCCAGTCACCATTTAGGACTTTGTGTTTAAGAGAAAAATAACTTTTTCTCATTGAAGGGAGGCATGTGCTCAGGAAATCTTGTGACTCCAACAACAGCCACCCTTAGCAGTACCAGAAAGAATGATCTCTCCTCTCAATTCTGTCCCTCCTGCTCTTCTCTTGCATCTGCAAAAACCACAGGAGGCATAAATTAGGTCAAGAGATGGCTTTGGAAACACTTTTCCCAGTCTGGGAGGTTACCCTTCCAAATCTAGTTTGTTTTATTTTAAACCAATTAGTTACCTGTGTGGATGCCTGTGAACTTAAGGACTGTGAGTGTATTAAAAGGACTCACTTTTTATTTTATTTTTTTTTAAATTTCAGTTTTTACCGTTATGTCTTAGAGCCAGAGATTTCTTTCACTCCAGATAATAGCTTTGCTAAGGGTCCAATAGCAAAATTTTTGGATATGCCACAGTCTCCTCTCTTCACCCTGAATTTGAACACACCTGAGAGTTGGATGGTGGAGTCTGTCAGAACGCCATATGATCTTGATAATATTTATTTAGAAGAGGTAAGAATATCATTGCTTCTACATATGTAATCTTGTGGAAAACCTGTTTAAGATGGAGTAGTGATAGTTTCTGAATGAACAGACTGGATCAGTCCAGGCAGGCCTCTGAGATATCCATGTTCACGTATAATTGTATTTTTAAAAAATAACAGCTTCATTGGGATCTATTTCACATACCATAAAATTTACCCTTTTAAAGTATACAGTTCAGTAGTTTTAGTATATTCACAGAATTGTGCAGCCATCACTACTAGGTGGAAACTCCATACCCATTAGCAGTCACTCCCCATGACCTCCTGGCAACCACTAATCTACATTCTGTCTCTGTGGATCTGCCTGTTCTGACGTTTGATCTAAAGAGAATCATATATTTTTGTGATTGGCTTCTTTCACTTAAATTATTATTTTTAAGGTTCATCCATGTTGTAGCATGTATTAGTATTCTTTTTTGTTGTGAGAAAATATTGTATGGATATGCCACATTCTGTTTATCCTTTCATTGATAGACATTTGGGTGGGTTCTATGTTTTTGGCTATTATAAATGATGCTGCTGTGAACATTCATGTCCAAGTTTTTATAGATGTGTGCTTTTATTTCTCTTGGAATTGGTGGAACATACAGGAATTCTATGTTTAATCACCTGAGGGATTGCCAAACTGTTTTCCAGGGTGACTGCACCATTTTCCATTCCTGCCCATGATGTTGAGCATTTTTTCATGTGTTAATTGGCTGTATATCATCTTTGGGGAGAAATGTCTATTCAAATCCTTTGCCTATTTTATTTTATTTATTTATTTATTTTTATTTTTTTATTTTTTTAAATCCTTTGCCTATTTTAAAAAAATTGCCAGGTTTTTTTTATTGTGGAATTGTAAGAGTTCTTTGTATATTCTAGATACAAGTCTGTTTTCAAATATATGACAGGTAAATAATATCTTTCATTCTGTTAGCTGTCTTTCACTTTCTGGATAATGTCCTTTAAAGCACAAATGTTCCTAATCTCGATGAAATCTGTTTTTTTCTTTTGTTGCTTGTGCTTATGGTAGTATACCTGAGAAATCAGTGTTTAATCCCAGGTCACGAAGATTTATTCCTATGTTTTCTTATAAGACTTTCAGATTTTTAAACTCTTACATTTAGGTCTTTTATTCATTTTGAGTTAATTTTTATATATGGTGTGAGGTAGGGTTACAGATTTGTTCTTTGCCTGTGAATATCCATTTGTCACAGCACCATTTGTTGAAAAGACTGTTCTTTCCCCACTATATGGTCTTGGTACCTTTGTCAAAGATCTATTAGCCCTGAATGAACTTAATTCTAGACTCTCAGATCTCTTCCCTTGATCTGTGTGTCTATCCTTCGGCCACACTTGTCTTACTTAGCTTTGTTGTCAGTTTTGAAATTGGTAAGTTAGTTTTCCAGTTTTATTCTTACTTTTCAAGGTAGTTTTGGCTCTTTTGGGTTGTTTGCATTTTGGAATCAGCTTGTTAATATCTGTAGGAAAGGTTGCTGGGAGTTTGATAGAGATTACATTAAATCCCTAAGTCAATTTGAAGAGTATTGCCATCTTAACATTAATAAGTGTTCTGACCCATGAATATGGGATGTCTTTCCATTTATTTGGGTCTTAATTTCTTTCAACAATGTTTTATAGGTCTTAGTATATAGGCCTGTAAAAGATCATGTCATCTGCAAATAGAGGTAGTTTTATTTCTTTCTTTCCAAACTGGATGTCTTTTATTTAATTTTCTTGCCTAATTGGGAAATTTTTAAATTACCAATTCAGTCTCTTGTTATGGATTTATTTGGATTTTCTCTCTCGTCTTAAGTCATTTTCTGGAGTTTGTGTCTCAGGAATTTATCCATTTTATCCAGGTTATAATTTGTAGGCCTATAGTTAGTCATAGCATTTTCTTACAGTCTTTTAAATTTAGTTTTGGAGGGGTGCCTGGGTGGCTCAGTCGTTAAGTGTCTGCCTTCGGCTCAAGTCATGATCCCAGGGTCCTGGGATCGAGCCCCGCATTGGGCTCCCTGCTCGGCTGGGAAGCCTGCTGTTCCCTCTCTCGCTGTGTCTCTCTCTGTCAAATAAATAAATAAAAATCTTAAGAAAAAAAAATTTAGTTTTGGAGTGATGTCTCCTTTTCCCTTGCTGATGTCAGTGAGTTGGCTCTTCTTTTTTTTTTGTGGTCAATCTAACTAAAAGTTTGTCAGTTTGTTGATATTTTCGAAGAACCAACTTTCGGCTCCATCGATTTTTCTGTTTTCCTGTTCTTTATTTCATTTATGTTCATATAGCTATTTTGGGTATCTAAGGTAAGTGGTCCTTCCCCCAGTCCATTTTTAAAAGATTGAGAGCTCACATGTATAGTTTTGCTGCTGTATCTTCACAGCCCTCACTCTGTACCTAGTTCAGAGTGTATTAACAAAAGAATTAAAACACATGGTCTTTCCTTATAAGGAGCTTACAGAGCCTCCTTCCTTTTTAAGACCACTGTCTCTGTGTCTGTCCTAAATATCTCTTCTTACAATTGAAGCCTGTTTCCTGGTTCCTCTTGGGAATTGGGAGACCAGGAACTTGAAGATAGTTATTAAGGGACTTCTCAGCCTTCTTTTCATTAGGGTAAAGAAGAATCCCATGATTCTTTACATCCCAAGAATGCTAAGTTAGGGGAGAGTGTGTGTACACACTTGCCTTATTCCCCACCTCAAACCTGTCCACCATGTTTGTTAACAAACAGGAAATGCTGTCTTTGCCCTTGAAGAACCAACTTTTGCTTCAGAGATAGTAAGATGGCCACAGAAAGCACTAAAGAGCGGTGTAAGGAGGCACAGAACAGGTGCAGAGCAGCTCTCTTCCATGTCCTTAGAGTTTTTGCTGCCCTTTCCTAGACTTTCTCCGCTTTCTCTGTATCTGCTGAAAACATAGAGCCTGGGATTTGGTGAGCGTGTGGAGGTTTAGTCCTTAGCTTTCATTATTACGCTTTTGGAATTTAGTATTGCAGTAACATATTAAGCTCCAAATAGTGTGTTATTAGCATTAGATAGGATTGCAGAGCCAAGTGTGAACCAGCCTGGGATAAAAACTCTTTAATTAACTAAAGCCAAGCTACCCCAGTACTTTGCAATTATATTGTATTTTCTGTAAGGAATCAATAATAATTTAGGCAGTTGATGTGGAACATGAATGGCTTTGTGCCATTATGGAGTCATCAAATACATTTTGGGTATTTGCCTTTAGAATGGCAGTAGTATTTTCAGCTATATCCTGTAGGCCAAGATGAATTTATGTTTTTCTCTGCTGTTTCTCATTGTTTCTTCATTATCTTCTTTATTCTTTAGTTTTTAGATCAGTTCATTTTTTTTTTTTAAGATTTTATTTATTTATTTGACAGACACAGCCAAAGAGGGAACACAGGGTAAGTGGGAGAGGGAGAAGCAGGCTTCCCATGGAGTGGGGAGCCAACCTGACGTGGGGCTGGATCCCAGGACCCTGGGATCATGACCTGAGCCGAAGGCAGACGCTTAACGACTAAGCCACCCAGGCGCCCCTAGATCAGTTCATTCTTTTGGCAGTGTGTTTTACACGGTTTTCCTAATATTACTTCCTAGATGACAGCCTCATCCTCTCATCTGTACATCTGTACAAAACCTCCTTGCACAATCAAGATACAGAGCATTTCCATCACCCCAGAAAGTTCTCTTGTGCCCCTTTGCAGGCAGTCCCTCCCCATTCTTGTCACTATAGTTTTGCCTTTCCTTAAATTTCTTAGAAATATGACCGTACAGTATGCAGCCCTTTACGTCTGGCTTTGTTCACTTTGTACAATGCATTTGAAATCCATGTTGCATGTCTCAACAGTTTCTTTTTATTGCTGAGTAATTTTCAAGTGATTTAATTCTGCTGTTGCAGGTGGATAGTGTGGTGGCTGCTGAGTATGAGCTGGAGTATCTCTTACTGGAAGGTCACTGCTATGACATCACCACAGGCCAGCCCCCACGAGGACTGCAGTTTACATTAGGAACTTCAGCCAACCCAGTCATTGTGGATACCATTGTTATGGCCAATCTGGTAAATAATCTGTACATAAGGTGGTGGTATTGAGTCATGTTAATTTGGGCACTACAGTTTATGATGAACAGTTTGCATTCTGGACATGAGGGAGATTAAAATTCATGATTGACTGAATTTGGTCAATATAAAAATCAAAAGTTAAACTTACAGATTGGAATTACATGTTAGCCTAAAAAAAATGCTAGGATATTCTGAATATTCTGTTCTAATCAAATTGGCCCCTGCAAATTCATTGCTTAAGAGCTGACAGCATTTTTTCTTGGCTTTGGAGGTTTTTAGCTTATTCACACATGACACATTGATCCTTCACTCACTTACAGATCAATGACCCCCTTCTTGGCTTCACTGGCCTGTATTTTGCTAGTGTTTCAAATGGGTAGATTTCTTTCTTCTTTTTTTTTTTTAAAGAATTGCACTGAAATTATAACTTTTATTTAAAATATGAGTGATATTTCAGAAAAGGAAATAACTGTCCCTCAGAAACAGCATTTTGATGTTTCAAAGAGAACTAAAATTTGTCTTTCTTCTTGCCTTAGGGCTACTTTCAGTTAAAAGCCAACCCGGGAGCTTGGATTCTCAGACTAAGGAAGGGTCGGTCTGAAGAGATTTATAGAATCTACAGGTAGGATTAAGTGATGTAGGTGCTTTTCTTCCAGAACATTTTACAGAGAATCAGCTTAAATTGAGTACTACACAGGCAGTTAGCCAGGGAATAAGGATTTAATTCATGTGTGATGAAACAATGCTTTTCCAGGAAATTGAGTATGGAAGAATTGTCAGGGTATGATTGGGCAATAAGTGGTATAAATACTAGTAAGTATAGTCAAGTTTCACCCTTTAGTCTTTCCTTTGTGCTAACAGCATCTCAGAATCAGATTATTCTTTCACTGCGATGAAAACCATAGGCAGATGAGAAATTGAGTCATTTCAAGAAAGGAGAAAAGAAACGAATAACATTCAAACTTTTCTACATAGATGGTGTATTTCTTGATCCTGGGTGAATTGCAGGTACACAGTGTAAGCTTTGGCCATGAAATCTTGGTGCTAGACTGGCTTTCTTGGTCTGTGGTAGTACGGAAGTACTTCCAGAGCATTTCGTCAGTCACCAGGTTTTTGCCTTCAGGTTTGCTATGGCTGCCTATTAGTTTAAAAAAATTATACTGCCATTTTGAGTTTATCTTTGTATATGGTGTAAGAGAATGGTCCAGTTTCATTCTTCTGCATATGTGACTGTCCAATTTTCTCAGCACCATTTTTGAAGAGACTGTCTTTTTTTCCATTGCATATTCTTTCCTGCTTTGTTGAAGATTCATTGACCATAGAGTTGAGGGTCCATTTCTGGGGTCTCTATTCTGTTCCATTGATCTATGTGTCTGTTTTTTTTGCCAATACCATGCTGTCTTGGTGATCACAGCTTTGTAATATAGCTTGAAGTCAGGCATTGTGATGCCCCCAGCTTTGGTTTTCTTTTTCATCATACCCCTGGTGATTCGGGGTCTTTTCTGGTTCCATACAAATTTTAGGATTGTTTGTTCCAGCTCTGTGAAAAATGTCAATGGTATTTTGATAGGGATTGCATTGAAAGTGTAGATTGCTCTAGGCAGCATAGACATTTTAACAATGTTTATTCTTCCAATCCATGAGCATGGTTTCACTCATATGTGGAGTGTAAGGAAAAGCGTGGAGGACCATAGGGGAAGGGAGGGAAAACTGAATGGGAAGAAATCAGAGAGGGAGACAAACCATGAGAGACTCTGGACTCCAGGAAACAAACTGAGGGTTACAGAAGGGAGGGGAGTCGGGGGATGGGGTAACCAGGTGATGGGTATTAAGGAGGGCATGTGTGGTGATAAGCACTGGGTTTAAGCACAACTAATGAATCGTTGAACACTACCTCAAAAACTAATGATGTACTATATGTTGGCTAAAAAAAATTAAAGGGGGAAACAAAAATATTAACACTGCCTTTTAAAAGGTGTAATCTAAATTCTGTTTAACACAATTTAAATTAGTTTTAAGCTATGTGAAGAGAGTTTATGTCAATTTTTAGGGAGTGATTTCCATTACAGTGTATTTAAAACACCCTCTTGTTGTGTCATCTTAGTTCTATAGCATCTATAGAGCAGCGTGGTTTCTTGAAGCTGTATTATAATAACATATTTATTGTAAATACCATGTTTTCTTCCAAATAATGTTTTCCTAAATACGGTTTTGCAGAATTTAATCCTATCATAAGAAGTTTACTTGTTCTTCTTCTAAACCCCGTCCCTTCCGTGTGCCCTTTCCCTGGCTGCTCTTCCCCTTTCCCAAGAGTGTGGAGTCTTCCTCTCTTCCTACTGTCTAGGGTTCCCTTCGTCTTGGGATATTCCCAGACTCTATGTGTTTCATGCTTCCCCATCAGAATCTTACCTTGCCTGAGAACTCTGCTTTGTGCTGGATGACAGTGAATGAATGCAGTGAATTCATATTTTATCGTGGCTTTCTGCACTTAACACCTTGAAAATTGGTGCCTGGAAATTTTAGGAATTACAGTTGAGTGGGGATATCTTATTTTTAATTTTTTTTTTTTTTAAGATTTTATTTATTTTTTTGAGAGAGAGAGACATAGCGAGAGCAGGAACACAAGCAGGGGGAGTAGGAGAGGGAGAAGCAGGCTTCCTGCGGAGCAGGGAGCCCGATGTGGGACTCGATCCCAGGACCCTGGGATCATGACCTGAGCCGAAGGCAGACGCTTAACGACTGAGCCACCCAGGCGCCCTCTTATTTTTAATTTTAAATGTTTCCTGTTCTGCCCTAGCCCTCCCTGCAAATAGAGCTTGTTATAGTTCTTTCTCCAGAATATGGGCACCAGATTGAGTACAGGGCCTAGAGTTGGCTGATTGTGTGCCTCCAGGCAGAAGGATAGAGTAGATGCCTTTACAGAACTCTGAAGTGGAGCCATGCTTTGTTACTTGTCCATGAAAGAGTAGAAGTGATGTGTTTCTGGTGATGGTGCAGAGTGGCTCATGCTCCTAGGCAGTCCCTATTGCTGATACTGAACTTGGCTCAGACTTTGTGAATACAGGTGTTGATTAAGTGCTCATCATGCGCTTGCCAGCACTGGGAGCCTCTTACTCTGTGAAAGGTAATTTAAAGAGGAGACTCAAGAAGGAAGTTTGGGTTGTGACTGATTGGAATGCTCAGTGTTTGAAGGATAGAGATTCTGACAGTGCTTCTGTGTAGCTTGAAGGGACTTCCTGTAGGTTTCGAGAAAATAATTTGTTCTGGAAAACTCCTTTATGATAAAGATGATGGACAAATATGGCAGATTGATGTCACACCACTTACTGCATTTTGAGAATTGTGATTTGTAATGTCTGTCTTATTCTTTCCCTTTCTTTTCTCTCTAAGCCACGATGGCACAGATTCTCCTCCTGATGCTGATGAAGTTGTTGTTGTTCTCAACAACTTCAAGAGCAAAATTATTAAAGTGAAGGTGAGTTTGGTAATACTAAGGCAGCCACTCTTATAGTGGGTGAAAGTAGCAGTATTCTGGCATTCAGTAGCTCTTATCTAGAAGTAGGTGGATGCATTAACTGATAATGCTGTCACTGTGGTCATCATTTTACAATATTTATGCATATCAAATCATCACATTGTATACTTTCAATTTATACAATAATTATATCTCAGTAAAGGTGGGGGGAATAATTATTTGTCAATAACTATATCTCAGTAAAGGTGGAGGGAAGGAAAACCAGCTTAAGACTTTAATTCACCTTTGGAATTTTAGTGTTTATTGCAATGCTCTTTTTTTTTTTGAGAGAGAGAGAGAGCATGAGGGGCGGGGTCGGGGGGAGATGAGAGAGAGAGAGAGAAAGAGAAAGAGAGACTCCTAAGCAGGCTCCATGCCCAGTGTGGAGACCGATGCGGGGCTTGTTCTCACCACCCTGAGATCATGACCTGACATGTCAGACACTTAGCCAGCTGAGCCACCCAGGCGCCCCAGAATACTTCTTTAAATGTAAGATGTCTTGGGGCGCCTGGGTGGCTCAGTTGGTTAAGCGACTGCCTTCAGCTCAGGTCATGATCCTGGAGTCCCAGGATCGAGTCCCGCATCAGGCTCCCTGCTCAGTGGGGAGTGTGCTTCTCCCTCTGATCCTCTTCCCTCTCATGCTCTCTCTCATTCTTTCTCTCTCAAATAAATAAATAAAAAAAAAATTTAAAAAAAAATGTAAAATGTCTTTTGTAAATATACATTTGTGGCTTTCTTCATCTGAGAGATTGCACCTTCTAGGTAATCTCTGAGCAATACAAGTCTCATTTTACATAAAGTGTTTTCACAGATACTGTTTTGCTTACATAGCCATCGTTCACATTATTACTGATGACTGTTCTCAGAAAATTGGGAAGAATGCCAGTGAAAATTTCAATGACAATAATAATTGGTAGCCCTATTTCATTTCTTTTCACTTCTCAGAATTTTGAAGTTCTTAGTGCCTTAAATTCAAGTAAAAGGTATCATGGAATAAATAATCATTACACACAGTAAAATCTAAAGCCGACTACACATGATTGAGCAGAAAACTGGTCCCTGTGTTGTTGAGAAGATTCAACCCGTCTTTATCCTGGTAAATCCTAAAAACAGGCTGTGATGTGAAGTGACTTCTTCCTGACAGCGCTCATGTGGGCTGCACTCTACCCCTGGAAAACCAGCTGTCAGCTTGGTGGATTAGGTTTCTAGTTTTGCTTAGACTCTCTTTCCTACATAGTTGAATTTGAGGTTCTTTGACCATTTTTCAAAGTAAAAACAGTTATTATCTAATTAAGAGAGGTTGCTGGCTCATCACCTGAAGTTTTAATGTGATATGTTGAAGATCATTGTATTGAACTCGTCTAGACTCCGGGTGGATTGTTGTGCTTGTGGGAGAATTCGTTCCCTGTTGTTGACAACACTCCTCACATATGGTTGCAGGTTCAGAAGAAGGCAGATATGGTGAATGAAGACTTGCTGAGTGATGGAACTAATGAGAATGAATCTGGATTTTGGGACTCCTTCAAATGGTAAATCGGCATCATTTAAAAAAAAAGTATCTTTTAAGGAAAAACTGAGATATAAGCACCATCCCTCCCTTCTTTTGAGTATAAGACTCCTATCTGGGCCTTTCAGAGTCTGCACTCTGCCACCACATCTTGCACTTCTATTTAGAGTAGATGAGTGTTTTCCACTGACTGAGTGACGGAGGTTAATGTCCCCGTATGGGGAAGTTACTTGTTGACTCTCACTGGGTTGTGCCTGCCTTTCGGAGAGTTCAGTTTACTTCCCATCGAGCGGATCATGTTCTGTGGGATCGCCTCTGTTCAGTCTACTCCTGAAGCTCTGCGGTACGCTGCAGGCAGCACCCTTGTCTTTCCCTGTGGTGGCTTGGTTGCGTTGTGCCCTCTCAGGTGCCAGCGGATGCTTCACCGGCCTCTCCTGCATCGCCCCCTAGGGAAGGAGTGGGCATGGGAAACACATCTCTGCAGCTCTCCCCTTAAAGGGCTGTGTGTCTGTACCAGCATTTCAAGTGTTCTTGTTTTTATCTTTATTATTATAGGGGCTTTACGGGAGGACAGAAGACTGAGGAAGTGAAACAAGATAAAGATGACATAATTAATATTTTCTCCGTGGCATCTGGTCATCTCTATGAAAGATTTCTTCGGTTAGTTGTGTTGATTATTTCAGTATATACGAATGGGTTTGTCACAGTATTCTTATTTAGAGAGTAAATGTTTTATGGGATTCTGTCCATTATGCTTCTGTGTATCTGAAGCACTCTGAGGATTGTTAATATATAATTGTATTTGTTTTGATCTGCCAATCTCGTGAAGTCTGGCTGTATAATAAATGCATCTTGTGGATATTACAAGGCTATAAACCTTTAATACCACTGCATGCACATTATAAATAGTGGTGTTTCACTGGCCACCAAGTATTGCTTAAATCAGAAATTAGGAGGTTAACACAGAGAATAGAAGTGGAGTAGGGCCATGGACCTGCCTTCCGAAGATTCATAGGAGTTTAGAGCCAGGAGTGATCTTGGTTCTCACAGAAGAACACCTCTGTTTTATAGACAGATTCAGAGGGTGAAGGAACTTGCCTGAGGTCACACAGCCAGGGCCAAAGAGAGGTCATAGCCTTGGGCTGGTTGATGCAGTGGCCACCAGGGGAAGGCTTGGCTATGAATATGCTCCTTTGCTTGAGAGTGACTTTCCTAATGCCAGGGTTCATTTTATTTTAATTTTCCGTGACAAATCTAGTATGGCAAATAATTAAACTGTCATTTTACTCAGTTTCAGGCCTCCCATTTCCAAGAAATAACTGACCTGTAAAACAGTTAATGTCAAATGTTGGTAACTCAATTCAGTTCCGTGACTCAGTTTGTTTTTGTATGTTTTTGAAGTTAGGAAATCCTGACGCTGTGGCCATTTGCTATCCCCTGACCTCTCTGCTCTCCTCCCTGGCGGGGTCTCCAGTTGAGGCTGTGGGGGGCAGTGCAGTGACACAGAGCTGCGGTGGCCTTACAGGTTTTCTTTTCAGAGTCCTGTAATCAGTTAGCCACAACCTCCATTATTCATTTATACCATAATCAAGGTAGCAGTTCATGAAGCAGTTTATTTAAAGATGTAACATGATTAAGACATTTGCCTTTATCAGGTATATCTTTATGGGTGAGAAATACTCTTTCTTTTCCATGCAGTGATAACTTTATATAATAAGTGCAGTTTTTCATTTTCCATTACCAAGGGTCTCTCTTTGCCATCAATTTGCTCTGCCATGAAGAACATTCAGCAGTCTCGTGATTGACTCTACTTGATTTCATTGAGATTAAAAAGCATTGGAAAATTATTATTGATTATTATTTGCTTTTGTTTGACAGTATAATGATGCTATCAGTACTGAAGAATACCAAGACTCCTGTGAAATTCTGGTTCTTGAAGAATTATTTGTCTCCCACATTTAAGGTTTGTTCCTCAGGAGAAAGGAAAGGATTCTTATTAAGGAGATATGTATGGTATAATATACTTTTTTACTGCTTCAGTGTTATTTGTATGATTTAAAGTTTTTCCTTTTAATTAGGTTTCCCTTCTTCAGTTGCATATTTTGTTTGTTTGTTTGTTTATTTATTTAAGTAATCTCTACACCCACCGTGGGGCTCGAACTGACAACCCCAAGATCAAGAGTCGCATGCTCTTCCGTTTAAGCCAGCCAGGCGCCCCTAGTTGCATATTTCTATGTTCATTCCAGATGGATTATTTTGGAGGAATAGTCGTTATAAAACCAAACACAAAATTATGACCTGTTTGAAGCTTGGATAACATTGGAGGAAAATCTGTATCTTTTGTTTTGATGAAATAACATTCTCTTCCTCTGAGCATGTATATTATAGTTTAATTAGAAAGCACAGTACAAGTTATTCTCTGTTTTTTTTATGTAGTCACAGGTGAGTCAGGGTCAGATTTCTGTATTAGACCACTGTTATGGTAAATGTGTTTTACTTGTGCCATAATCATGATGGCTGACTTACATTATTGAGTTGATTTTCTTCATCAAAGTAAATGGTTGGTTGTTGTTTTCTATGTCCAAAAATAGGAGTTCATACCTTATATGGCAAATGAATACAATTTCCAATATGAGCTTGTTCAGTACAAATGGCCTCGGTGGCTTCATCAACAGACTGAGAAACAGCGCATCATCTGGGGTTACAAGATCCTCTTCCTGGATGTGCTCTTCCCACTAGTTGTTGACAAATTCCTGTTTGTGGATGCTGATCAGGTAAGCTCTTACAAGCCAAATTTAAACAGTTCATATTGGGGCGCCTGGGTGGCTCAGTCATGAAGCGTCTGCCTTCAGCTCAGGTCATGATTCTGGGGTCCTGGCTTCAAGCCCCGCATCAGGCTCCCTGCTCAGTGGGAGGCTTGCTTCTCCCTCTCCCCCTGCTTGTGTCCCCTCTCTTGCTGTCTTTCTGTCTGTCAGATAAATAAATAAAATCTTAAAACAAAACAAAAACAGTTCGTATTAAAGGCATTAGACTTCCTTCTCCTTTTTAAATGATTTTATTTTTCTAGTTACAGAAAAATACATGCTTACATTATTTAGAATATATGGAAAGTTACACTCAGATGTGATCACTTTTAAAATTTGCATTTGAGGTATCTCTTTTCATCTTTTTTTCTATGCCTCTTTTACCCAGTTGCGATTACACCATGTATGCAGTTTTGTTTCTTAATTCATTTAACATATAAACTAGAAACTGGAAGATTGAGGTTTAACAGTGCTTGCCATTATCTCCAATTATTTACCCAAAAGCTAGGAGTTTTGACATGGTTAAGAGGGGGGAAGCTCTAGTAGATAGACGCCTGCCTTGATAATTTGGAACTCTTCAGATATTCTTCCTCCTGTCAAGATTTGACCTAAAAGGAACACACTGTGGTTTTAGACCACACAAACTCAAAAAGTGTGAATATAGTTGTCCTTTACAACCTTCCCCCTTCCCCTGACCTGGCTGAAACCCGAAGTAATCATCTGAATGGAAGTGATATGTAATATGTGCAAAAGTCATGTGGCCAGAGGCTTCATCCACCTCTTTGGAATTACCTGCCTCATCTGACTCCCTGTATCACAACTGGCTTGACCTAAAGCATGCTTTCTGGATTCTAATATAAGCACACTTACTCCTTGTTGAGTACTTGCTGTGTGTCAGGCATCTTTACACAGCTGTCCATATATTGATTCATGTAATCCTGTGAAGTCTCCATTTTACACATGAGGAAACTCAGTCACAGAGAGGCTAAGTAGTGTAAATTTGTTTTATTTCTACCTTTTTGAATACTTAGAAAACTGTGTGACAAGCATTAGGCAAAGTGTCTTACTTGCTAGTGAAGGCAGTCAGCTAATAAGTGTAAGAATCCGGGCTCAGACTGGGTCTACCACTGGAGCCTGTGCCATTAACCTCAGAGCTGCCCTCTGTAATGTCTCAGTGAGGCAGTCTGTATTTTAAGAAAACTGCTGTCTGCATGGCTGTTTAACAAATGCCTTGTGGGGCGTCTAGGTGGCTCAGTTGGTTACGTATCTGATTCTTGATTTCGGCTCAGGTCATGATCTCAGCGTTGTGAGATGGAGCCCTGTGTCAGGCTCTGCACTGGGCGTGAAGCCTATTTTAAGATTCTCTCTTTTCCTCTCCCTCTGCGCCTCCCTCCGTCTAAAACAAACAAAACAAAACAATGACTTGTGATCTTCTTTTTTCCAGATTGTACGAACGGATCTGAAAGAGTTAAGAGATTTCAATTTGGATGGTGCTCCTTATGGCTATACTCCTTTCTGTGATAGCCGAAAAGAAATGGATGGCTATAGGTTCTGGAAATCAGGGTACTGGGCCAGTCATTTGGCTGGGCGAAAGTATCATATCAGGTATTGAAAAAGGAGTACTCCCAGTGTTGTTTGATTTTCTTTTCTTAAAAAATTTATTTTACATACTTGAATTTGTGAATAGGTAATAAACTAACATGGTTCAAAAATAAAAATTATGAAAAATATGCAGTGAAAAATAATCTTCCCAGTTCTTTCCGTCTTCTACCCAGTTCCCATTTCTACAACAGATAACCGACTTTATTAATTTACTATATGTCCTTCCAGAGTTTGATTCTTACATTATCAACTGAACTTCTTTTTTTACACAAAATATACCATCATGTTTACAGTTTTGTGCCTTGCTTTATTTAATATCTCTAGTAGATCTTACATTAATGTCCTGAGAGAGAGACCTTCCTTTTTACATCTACATATTATTCCAGTATATATGTCATTTATGGTATTTTGCTGTGACATACAGTGTTGCAGTGAATAATTAAATACATCATTTAGTATGTTTCAAATATATCTGTAGGACAAATTCCTAGAAGTAGAACTCCTAGGATGGACTGTGTAACATTACATTATCTGCTCTGGGTCGAGTGTGGTTTGGAAGATCTGGAAGGTCTGGGGATGTGTAGGTAGCAGCATTTACAGACATAAATGTTGGGGTTTGGTGATTTCTTTGTCATCAGTTAATGTTCTTGGTCCAGAAGATCTGTAACACTTGGGGTTTTTTCCCCTGCAACATTTAAGACATCAACAGGATATCTTTGACTGATGGTTAGCTTTTATTACCTAATCTGCTGACATTTGGTAGAAGTTTTCTTTTGTCAGAGATTTAAGGTAGCTAAATAAGGAAGGCAATTTAATAAGGAAGAGGGACAAAGTGAGTTTGTGGTGGCAGAATATGGGTTTTGCAATAATTTCCTGAGCCATCTTTGAAGGAGCACATACTGACCCTGAGCTCCACACTGAGGCCACAGCTTACTTTTTCAAAGAGAGGCCAGGATGTTTACCTGGTGACCATTATTCAGCGAGGTTACTTTTTCTGCCACAATCCATGGTTATAATAAGTAGTTCTTCTCTATCCAGTGCACTGTATGTCGTGGATCTGAAGAAGTTTAGGAAAATAGCTGCTGGTGACAGACTCAGGGGACAGTACCAAGGTCTGAGTCAGGATCCTAACAGCCTTTCAAATCTTGATCAAGTAAGTGGCTATTTTTTTTCGTTAACACTTTCAGTGATGGGTATGCAATATTGTTTCAGGAATTAAATTATTATTTTCCTCTCAATTCTCTCCTCCGTTGGGACAGTGTTTTGTTTCTTCATGGAAAGGAATTGTGGGGTGTGTGTGTGTGTGTGTGTGTGTGTGTGAGACATTTTTAGCCTCAAGAGAAGAAATACTAGTGAAAAATGTCATAGGCCTGATGTGAGTTTGGAAGGGAGATGGAAGGAGGATGCTGCCTCTTCAAACCATTATCGTATCTTTCAATTTTGCACCCAAGTTACCTTGTTTGATAAATTTGTTTCTCTGCCTGCTAGGAGCAATTTGTTTCTTTTTAGGAACTAATTAGCAAAGATTCACAGTAGATAGTCTACAATTTCCCTTTTTTTCTTTTTAAAGATTTTATTTATTTATGTGTCAGAGAGAGAAAGAAAAATCACAAGCGGGGGAGCGGAAGGCAGAGGGAGAAGCAGGCTCCTCGCCGAGGAAGGAGCCTGATGTGGGACTTGATCCCAGGACCTTGGGATCATGACCTGAACTGAAGGCCCACGCTTAACCGATTGAGCCACCCAGGCATCCCTCCTTTTTTTCCTATGTCAGAAACTATGGTGTTTTTGTGTGTGTGTGTGTGTGTTTGTTTTTTAACCATGGTGGTTTTTTTTTTAAGAAGTTTAGCCAAATCAATTTATTAATGCTAAATATTTTTCAGAAGTGAGATAATAGTTTGTTTTAGATACCTAGTTTTACATATTTTGTTTTGCTTAAGTCTGCCTTAAACATTTTACAACTGTTATTGTGATATATAGCACCCATAAAGGAAAGCATACAAAACAAAATTATACCGATATATACATATTCATATGCATCAGTGAATTACCACAAAGCAAATGCCCATATACCATCATCCAGTTCAAGAAATAGAACATTACTAGCATCCCAGCAGCCATCTTTCTTCTCTAACAGAAGTATCCAGCATCCTGACTTTGGTGGTAATTACCTCAATTCTTTTCTTTGTAGAATTACTACTTGAATGTGTATCCTTAAATACTATAGTTTAGTTTTGCCTGTTTTTTTCCTCCCTACCTCAGTTGTATCTTAAAAGCTGTACTCTTTTGAATCTAATTTCTTTTGCTCAACGTTATGTTTCTGCAATCCATCCATTTTGTTGTGTGTAGTGGTACTGTGTTTTGTTTATACTACATTTGGGTTGTTTTCCATTTTTGTCTTCCATGGATAATGCTGCTGTGAGCATTCATGCAACTGTCTTGATGCACATGTACACATATTTCAGTTGTGTGTACAACTACATGTGGAATTACCAAGTCATCAGATTTGTATGTTTGTCTTTATTAAATGATCCTAAACAGTTTTCCAAAGTTCTAATTTATACTCCCACCAGCCATGTAAGAATTCCTGTTGCTCCGTGTTTTGACCAGTACTTACTGTCAGTCTGTTAATTTGGTATATGTGAACTACCATCCTATGTGGCTTTCATTTAGAGAGTTTATTACATTTACATTTTCTATAATATTAGTCAAGTAGGATTTACATCTGTCATTTTAATTTCCTTGTTTCCTGTACTGTATATTTTTGAGTTATTTTCTCAGTGGTTGTCCTGATGATTATCATTAACACTTTAACTTATGACAATTTAGTTTGGGTTACTAACAACTTAATTTCACTAGTATACAAAAACTTTGTTCTTATATAGCTTTGTTCCCCTCCTTCCCATACTTTTATTATCATACAGTTTGTATGATACATTGTATATATATTGTATGATACATTATATGCCTATCAACACAGATTTATGATTACTACTGTTTGTAATTGTTTTTAAACCAGGTGGGGGAAAGCTCTAAATAAGAAATACATTGGTATTATCTTTTATATTTACCTACATACCTTTACTGGTGCTTTTTATTTCTTCGTGTAGATTTGAGTTACTGTTTAGTGTCCTTTCATTTCACCCAGAGGTCTCCCTTTAGTATTTCTGATAGGATGGCTCTGGAGCTACAAACTCTTGGGGGTAATTTTCTCCTTCATTGTTTTTGATGGATAGTTTTGCTGGATATAAAATTCTTGCTTGTCATTTTTTCTTTTTCTCATATTTTTCTTTGAATATATTGTCCCACACACTGTTAGCCTCCATGTTTTGTGATGAGAAGTTAGCTGTTAATCTTGAGAATCCCTTACCTGACAAGTCACTATCTCCAGTCTTTTCTTTTGATAGTTTTGATTATGATGTAGCTAGGTTGGGTCTCTTGAGTTAATCCTACTTGGAGTTCATTGAACTTCTTGAATGTGTAGGTTAATGTTTTTCACCAAGTTTGGGAAGTTTTATTTCTTTATTATTTCTGCCTCTTTTTCTCTCCTCTTGGGACTCCCATTGTATGTGTTCATATATTTGATGGTTTCCCACAGTTCTGTGAGCTCTGTTTATTTTTTTTCATTCTTCTCTCTGCTCCTGGAAAATCTTAAGACTGGATAATCTCAATTGATTTATCTACAGTTGACCTGATTATTATTATTTTTTAAAATTTTTTTATTGTTATGTTAATCTCCATACATTACATCATTAGTTTTAGATGTAGTGTTCCATGATTCATTGTTTGTGCATAACACCCAGTGCTCCATGCAGAACATGCCCTCTTTAATACCCATCACCAGGCTAACCCATCCTCCCCCCACCCCAGAACCCTCAGTTTGTTTTTCAGGGTCCATCGTCTCTCATGGTTCGTCTACCCCTCCGATTTCCCCCCCTTAACTCTTCCCCTCCTGCTATCTTCTTCTTTTTTTTTTCTTAACATATATTGCATTATTTGTTTCATAGGTACAGATCTGAGATTCAACAGTCTTGCACAATTGACAGCGCTTACCAGAGCACATACCCTCCCCAGTGTCTATCACC